CCCACCCTTTCCCTGTGTCATACCTCTCAATTGACTACTATACCCAAACATATCATTCAAAGCCACTTCAGCCAATAAAGTAAATTCATCATCCCTAACTTCCGTATCGATGATAGTCCCTTTTCTTTGATTGATAGCACCTATCACATTCCCTTGAAATTCCACAGGAGCTACAATTTCCACACTCATGACAGGTTCCAATACCACGGGTTTAGCTTTGTTGAAAGCTTCTCTGAAAGCACCGATGGCTGCTAGTCTGAAAGATAATTCGTTGGAATCGTTCACGTGAGCTTGACCGTCTTCTGCGATGAAACGACATCCTGTGATTGGGTGTCCTGTTAAAAGTCCACGATCGAGAGCTTCTTGGAATCCCTAAGACTTTAGCGGATACCCTGTCACTTGCCACCATCTTCCACTTTGTCACATCTGCTGACAGGTACATACTCCCTTTATCGATTATGGGGGATAGAGAAGAGGTGGTTGAAAAGGAGAAAGAAAAAGTATGCGAGTGTCAAAATAGTGCAAACTGAATTGGTAGAGACATGAAAAATAAATGAAGAGCGAGTTATGGAACGAGTAATTTGCAGACAAAAAAGGAGAATACTGATACGATGAAGGATCAAGGTTATATATGACTCACCTTTTCAATAGCAGGTATGAATTGACTTGGGATATTCCCTCCAACTACCTTATTCTCAAAAGCCGTATCTTTTCCTGTATCCGGATCCAACTCCATAGGTTCCAAAATACCCTTTACCTTCCCAAATTGACCAGCACCACCACTTTGTTTCTTATGAGTGTAATCGAATGTCGCAGGTGAAGTGATAGTTTCTCGGAAGGCTACACGGGGTTTACCCGTAACACAAGCCACGTTGTATTCTCTTTTCATACGTTCGACATAGATATCTAGGTGGAGTTCACCCATTCCGGAGATGATCGTCTGATCGTCAGCACGCAGGCTTAATATATTTCTTATAGAAAGACGACTCCCAGCTGGCAACGATGGTGTGGATAGAGAAGAAATGTCCAAAATACCTCTTGAGATTCTGCGTCGACATGTACACGGAAAGTGGGATCTTCTTTCTGAAACCGATTCAGTGCTCGGGAAAAATTAGGCGTTTCATTCCCTTCTGGTCGAATGGATAAAGATATGACAGGATCAGGAACGAACATTGATGTCTAACATATCAGCTAATGACAAGAGAGAGCGTGGCTTACCATGGAATATGAAGTGTTACCATCGGTGAATGTATCCCCCGATGAACATTCCACACCGAACATGGCACAGATTTCTCCAGCAGCGATAGATTCGACATCCTAAACATCAATGAAATACCCAATATGTCGCAAGAAATGAATCAATACACACCTCCATCTCATCCGAATGCATTCGAACTAATCGAGGAACTTTGACTTTCTTCCCTGTTCGAGCATTGAAGATAACACTTCCTCTCTTGAGCTCTCCCTGATATACTCGCATATATGTCAATTGCCCATATCTTCCTTCTTCTAATTTGAAAGCTAACCCGACCAGAGGAGCGTCTGTAGCCGGAACCAAAGGGATCGGGGGTGCTTGTGCAGGGAGAGACGCATCAAGAGCTTGATTATGCACTTCACTGGGGTCGGGAAGATAAGAACAAACACCGTCGAGTAAAGGTTGAACAGCGGTGTTCTTGATTGCTGTACCCATGAAGACGGGAGTGAATCGAAGGCTGACTGTGGCCCGTCTCAAAGCTTGAGCAATGTCGAGATTGGAGATAGGCTCTTCGTTGAGGAATAAGTCACAAAGAACTTCATCGGCCTCGGATAATTGTTCGATGAGGAGAGACCGTTTCTCCTCGGCCAAACTTCGCACGGCTTCAGGTATGTCATCACTCTCCACGATTTGGTTTCTGCAAGTCAGCCTTATGCTTGCCCGACTTGAGGAGCGGCACTGGGGTTGTATAGAGTAGGAGACTGAGCAAGTCATGACATGTGAAAGGGTACTGTATTAGATGAAGTATAACTCACCCTTTCACCCCCTCATTATAAATCGCCTTCATACGAACAAGATCCACTACCCCTCTGAAATCACTCTCCGAGCCAATTGGTACCTGGACAGCAGCTGCGTTCATCCGTAATTTTGTCCGTAATTGGTTCACCACTCTGAACGGATTTGCACCGGCCCTGTTCCCTCAGTATTACCTTCCAACGTAACTCGAGAATCGACTTACCTATCCATCTTATTGACGAAAGCAACCCTAGGAACGTTATACCGTCTCATTTGTCTATCTACAGTGATTGTCTGACTCTGAACTCCGCTCACAGCGCATAGTACCAACACCGCCCCGTCCAACACTCTCAAAGCACGTTCAACTTCGATCGTAAAGTCCACATGACCTGGAGTGTCGATTATATTGATAGCGAAATTCTCTTTGGCAGCAGAGTTGAGTTGTTCGGAGGAAGTGAATTCCGTAGGGGGAGGTTGTGACACCCAATCACAGAATGTAGCGGCGGATTGAATAGTTATTCCTTTTTCACGTTCGAGTTCCATAGAATCCATCTTGGCTCCGACCGCATCTCTACCTCGGACTTCGTGAATGTCACGTATACGTCCTGTGTAGTAAAGCACCTGCAAAGTCAGCCTAAAATTTGTATCGAGTCAATGAGTGTGTCGGACTCACACGTTCTGTCAGTGTCGTCTTGCCTGAATCTATATGAGCAGATCTGTTTATGAGTACACTCATCGGGTCCCATATCGTCCAAGAAAAGACTCGATGAGGGCGGCAGGGAGGGTCAAATCGAGGATGAATGCAAGACCAGACTCACATCCCGACATTCCTTTGCCGTCTCAACCGCTTGACATCGGCGTTACTCAGCGTTGGCAAATTCCTCTCAGGCCACTCGGGCTCTTCTATCTGGGCATCACCATCCTCCTGGACCTTCCTCGCCGCCGCAGCCGAAGCATATCCGCGATGTCTTTGTGTAGGTCGGAGAGGGAGAGGTAATCTTCTTCGAGAAGTGGACGGCTGTGAGACACTGAAAGAGGTGGTGGGTGAGAGTATGGATTTTCGACGTAGGATAGGTGATCTCTCTAGAGCAGAAGAACGAGCCGCCCGGTTGACGAGACGTGCTATGGTGGACATGACCAGTGTGGTGGTCAACAAGACATAAAGTATGACCTTTTGACTTGCTCGACTTTTTCACTATCTAGTGAACGGAGTTCGACGAATCTCCGCGTCCACCAATTGAACTGTGAGCAAAATGACGAGAGAGAAAAATTATCATACAGCCAGAATAATCATACATAGTCAAACTCAAACACCCGACAGAAAGAGCGGTCAACGAATAATACATTCTTGGCTACAGATCAGGCATGACTCTCACCACCTTTCCCTCGTTTTTCGCATGTTTCCGCAATCTGAAATCAGCCACAACTCTAGATTGTCATCCGGCTTTGATCATCAGGAATTTGACCGCGACTGACTTTTCCAATAAACTCGTAGTCGCCCATCGTTCTGGGGGCTGTTTCTTTCCTATGGACCAATAATAGATATCCCAATCTGGTTCATCTAACAGCTTCTGGTCAGCGATAGTTCTCACACTTCTCTCAATCTTTGTCTTCCACAACTCATCCGTTCCCTTCCGTTTGACGGATACGCTCGAGATCGGTGTCGCTTCTTACGAATTAACATGACAGCCAAGTGAACAGGTGAGATGAGGTGAGGTCAGCGGGTGAGAGGAAGATGACTCGCCTGATCAAATTCCCTAAGCTCATCCAAAGTCATAAAACCCAATTGATCCCTCGCAAAAGTGCTCAGCAAGAGATCACCTTCTAGCATTCCCCGTTTGCGGGTTTGATACACCAGTCTCGCCCTAAGAGTCTTTTCGTCTTCTCCTTGTCTCTTTAACGGTTCAGGCCATGGAAGATTGTCATCTTGCGTCAAGTTGGGAGATCGGGAAGCTAAAGCGTTGAGCTCTGGGGATGATAAAGGGAGGGGATATGGGTCGCTAGATGCCCGAGTGGAGTTTGATAAAGATCGAAGGGGAGACAGGATTCGAGTGTAAGATCGTCTACTGAAGACGGTCCGAGATGATTTGACGAGATACATGACGGTGGAGTGGTCGAGTACGGACAGAGGAGAAGCGAGATGGGGAGCTCGAGTGGAAAGTCAAAGTAAGCCGCGATCAGTCCCCGATCGATGTCGTCACGACGTCACCGACAGCTCTTTCATGTCTCCAACTGCATTTGCAGAGTAAAAACGAACATCACTTCTAGCAGCTGATTAAGTCTTTACAATGAACCAAGACTGCATACATGATAAACGAATGATGCAAGTGAGGTGGGGTTGGAAAGAGGTGCATACTGTACTTATGCGGTCCTAGACTGAGCTCAGAGAGGTGACAAGGTGCCACACCCCGAATGGCTTCTTCGGCTTTATAGAAAATTACCGTTTCCGGAAAGTCAAAATGAGGACTCGCGGTTGTCTTTCCAAGCCTGCCTGATTTTCCTTTGCTCTCCTTTTCGCCTCATGCTCATCTTCTATTTCTAATCTTTCCTTCTTGCTGCGTCACATCTTGCATACCAACCTCCAGCATCTTGGTGATAACACTGCTTCGAATGCTTCCTTGAACAGTCGCAAGGCCCATGTCAGATTGAAAGCCTGTCAATCGCAACATGGCTTCTCCGCCTTCTGACACTCCCCTCGCCACCGACGAATCCCGTCTTCATCTTCCCACGTCATCCGTCTTCGCCCCTATAGGAGTATCAACCTTTCAACCCATAGCTTCAACATCCACAAGTAGACCGGACCCATCTACCCCCATCTTCTCATTCTCAACTCCCATCTTGTCATCCCCCGAAACCTCAGGACAAGGTGAAACGCCCTTTGCACATCCACGAACCCCTGTCAATCAGAAAACCGCAGACCCATATATAGTCCATGGAGAGGATTATGACACTGGTTTAGGTTACGGAGACGTAACGATCCAAGAGAAAGGGGATGTCAGGGAGGATGGTGTTGCGGAAGGAATGTCACTGGATTTCAGAGATGGAATGCTGGCTAGTGGATCGAGACGAGCCCTTCGGGATGAATCAGCGGAAATAGCTCAAAGCTTAGTTGATGCTGAAGAGACACACTTGGATGAGCTTCTGGATACGACACGGAGAAGACTGGATGAGTTAGGAGGAGTCAAAGAAGGTGATGGCTGGGAACAAAGGGATGAGCTGATGGGAATGGTGAGTTGACTCATTTCTGTACCACATCGACATTCCTGACATCTCAGCTCAATCGTATCTTGCCCTTTGTGGAGTCCCGGATACCTCTTCTAGAGGCTCAAGTCGTTGCTCAAAGGGAAACTATCACTACGCTACAACAGCAGAAACGTCTTTCAGACCAATTACACCTGACGGAAAGGTGAGCGACTCCTCCTTTCAGAAGAAATCATGCTGATCATCTTTTTAAGTCAACGACACGAAGCCGAACGTACTTCTTGGAACTCGGAGATTCGAGCTCTCATACGTGCTCGTGACGGTGAGATTGCAGCTGGGACCAGACCCAAGAAACTGTTGGAGATTGATGTCGGTTATCAGCAGGAGCTTGAAGCGGCTAACAAACGGCTTGAGATGGATAACCGGCTCATGGCTCCGAGGGTAAGTCATCTACTCCGCTTGATTAGAGTCAGCTAAGATGTTAGTTGAAAGACACACAAGAGCAAATAAACAAGCTTGTCAATGAGCTACGACATCTTCGAACTCACGTCATGCTATCCACCGACCCCTTCACCCCTCGTAGACTAGACGCGTATGACCAACCCTTCGGCCATGGTCCGTCGAGTTCACCCATGAAGAGCTTCTCGATCAATACGACTTTGGGAGATGCGCGCGCAGAACATTTACTTCTCGCTGCTCGGACGGTCCGACAGGCTCGAGGTCACAATTCTCAGATCGGTCGCTTATCACTAGACGAGCTGAAGAGGAGTCATGTCGTCGGTCCAGAGGGTGGTGTGGGGTACGCCGAAGGATATGGAAGAATTCTGGGAGACGAATCGTCTGCAACGGATAGTGAGATGGAAGAGTACAGCTTCGACGATGATCATCGATTGAGTAGCGGGAAGACCAAGAACAAGTCCGTTCATGGTACACCTTTACTTCCACGTGCCAAGCGAAGCGGCAAAAGACCTTTACCACCCACCACCCCTAGTCGAAATCGTGGTCAGCCGAGTCAGCCGCAGACTACTCCGGGCGGAAGTACACTGAACGATTTACTACGCGCGGCAGAGATGGCGACTAGGCCGAGTACTCCTCCCCCTCAAGATCGAACACCTCAAATCCCCATGTCGGCCATGTCGGCCTCTCGTAGCACGGCCAAACGTGAAGATAGTAGGAGCGAATCTCCCGACAAACGTCGACGATTAGGACCTGCCGCTTCTATCACTCCTGGCGGTTGGAGTCATGCTAGACGGATCAGCGGTATGGACCTTCAAGATGAGACATCCAGACGGATTGGCTTTCCCTCAGCTCTCCACGAGGGAAACGACTCAGCACCAGAGTCCCAGACGAGTCATCCTGACGCATCGGCATTGGATCTTCTCGCTCAGGCCAGTCAACTGGATGAGATACAAAACCCTCAAGATCCGTCATCGTCCCAACTGTCGACATCTCGAATAGTCGGCTTTGAGGAACATGATCCATTGGAATTCTCCCCTCGAAGTAATCAAACTGAAGGTTTAGCCCCCGCCATCGATCTTCGAAAAGGTTCGACGTCTATGATCGAAGATGATCAGATCGATCCTACACTTCAATCCCTTCCTCCACCTCCATCCTTTTCTCAAACCGCAAACACCACACCTCGTACACACGGTCGTCATCCGTCCTTTTCAAACACCCAGCTTCAGACTCCCGCTCGGATACACGATGACGACGATCTTACCACTGTGGGAATGTCGGCAAAGTCAGAAGGTTACGGATTGGATTCTATTTCTTTCCAAAGTCCTACCGGTGCGGCTGTACCGGGATTGGGCAGGTACGTCCATTTGACCAGTAGTATGCCAGCGAGACGGGTGAGATCGCCATATTTGAAATGGACCAAGGAAGAGGATGAATTGTTAGCGCGAGCAGTAGCGATGCATGGTGAGAAATGGGATTTGGTCAGTAAAGGTGTTCCGACCAGAAGTTATCATCAAGTCCGACAACGGTAAGTTTTTTTACTTTCTTTTGTTCCCGACAGCCGGATGTGATTATCATGCCGAAAGGGAACGTGTGCTGATGGATAAGATGGTTGAGAAAAACGGGTGCTTTTGATAAACGCCCAAATCAATCGAACGAAGGGTTACATGGAATGTCAGGTTTAGTAAGGGAAGAATACGAAGAGGAACCTGCTTCTCCGACTTTGCAACAGAAGAAGAAGAGAAAGAATAGTGATAGATGATGGTGGACATTCTTGCATCAAAAGTCGTCATCGGAAACAAAGACACAAAATAGTAAAGTATAATTCATGCATATATTAGACATTTGTTACTTACTCTCTGATCTCATGAGTGACATCGCTTCAAGGATCAAACTTCGGAGTATAAGCATGAGTAGAGAAAGTACTTATGAATGACTTGCTGACACTTGCTGAAAATCCATAAGTTACTCATTGACGGAAGGTTGTACTAGGAGCTTAGATGACGAGGAACAGCGAGGTCCTTTGAGTTTGATGCAACACGTTCCGTCGATCAATTCAAGTTGGAACGGGCGATCCGAGCGAACACCATACAATACACCAATTACTCTATTACAACGTTTTTCCCCATCAAAAACTCCACTATTTTTCAACATTATTTCCATCATGTTTTTCCTCATTCCTCGTGCTTTCCTCGTGAACGTGAATCTTTCCTTCCTTCTTCCCTTAATTTTCTTTTCCTGCACCGTGATCACCCTTTACATACAACCTTCATCCTCGTTTCCATACTTCTGTTTCCACATCCGCCCAACAACCAACAGGTTCATGTTCATTCGACATGTGTAATTGTATCCCCCCTTGCTCGACCGCGTGTGAAGCTTGAGGAATTGAAGAGTTGGTATCATTTTTCTTTGATCCACGCCTTTACTCGCCCTTCTACAACCATCTGCCGATCTCCGACTACCGCCTTCACACTACCGGTGGTGGCGGGTGGCTTTGTGTTCTTTACCATATAACCCTTCCTCTTGTTCTTGATCTTCACATTTCAGCTTTCCTTCATCTTTCCTGGATATCTCATATTTACCAACCTTATCAATTCCTTATCTCATCTTCAAATTCCCCTTCCACTTTTAAACTCCGACCCTCAATTTCTTTCCGTTTCACTCGTCCATTCGGATATCCCATCCTCGAATTTTTTTACCGGTGTGACTTTTTTAAAATCTCAAGATGATACCGAGAAGAATAATTTTTCTCGTTTTACTCTTTACGAGTGGAATATCGGCAAACCCAATAAATCCACCACGACCTTCACAGGGAGATGTTGAAAGAAGACATTTTTCTCAAAGAGATATATGGGATCTTACAATGGAAGAACGTAATCAACTTAGTTGGCAAAAGGCGGTAGAATATTCTGGTTACAATTTTTTTTCAGAGTGAGTGTTTGGTTTGAAAATGGCTCTGCCTTTCCTTTTCTTCTCCTTCCTTCTTTCCTCTCGAATACTGATCCTCCACCACTAGTTTTCGATTCACCCTCTTTTAAAGGCAAATCGCCTCGTACACATCCTACATGACTGGTGAACCAAACTTGGAAATATGGCAGAGAATGGGATTTTGATAGAGACGAGATAGAACGATTACTGACGGTCAGTTGGGATTTCTTTACTGGTCAAGGTGAGCTTCTTTATCAGTTTTCGGTTATGTGCTAGAGCTGACAAACAGATCCAAGTCATGGTCGTATGTCCTTCTCCCTCCACCCAATGTCAGAGAAGTCGCTGACGAGATAGTGGTCAAGTCGGTTCTTTCCATCCGAGGTAGAAGGGTGTCAAGCTTATATTGTAGCTACACCGACGCAACGACTGCATTTGATGACGGACTGGCTTTTTGGACTAACACTGGTGTTCCAGGTATTCAAGTAAGCTACGAACCCTCCCTCTACACCTTGGCCGCCCTGTAAACGATGTTGAAGTCCGCTGCTGTGATCTTTTCCGCTGCTCAGACCAAGAGCATTGGTAGCATATTGAAAATGACGATGTAGATTGAGTGAGGGCGACGGAATGACGGACTGACATACAGGTCGACCATTGGACCAAACTCCCTTCTGGTACACCACGGAATTCCGTCCGTATGAACACTAGAGATATCTTCTCCGGCGGTTTGTTCATCATAGATCTACAAGTGATGCCATTCGGTTGTGGTGTTTGGCCAGCTTGTGAGTTTTACCTGATTCCACTTCCGTCTGTCTCTCGTCTGACGACCGAACATGATTTGAGTAGAAAGTTGACCTCAGTCTGGACATTGGGATACGAAGGATCTTGGCCTGACAACGTGAGCTCAGTTATCATAATGCCATGTTGACATAGCTGACTTGATCAGGGGGAGATTGACATTCTCGTGCGTTATAACAATAATCAGGCGAGCTGACGTGTCAGGAAGGTATCATGTCGAACAACAACAAGTGAGCTTCGAGACACGATTTTGTTTTCACAGCTGACGGCCAGCCAAATGACCATGTAATTCCAAAACTTCGCTTGAGTCCCTGTCGGTAGCTGATCAACAGACATACAACAGCGGGTTGTCAATTGGACCAGTCCCCCGGGTTGTTCACGGGTACGGTTGGAGTGAGTACTTGTGCTTTCCCTCACCTAATGTACCCGGACTAGCACTACCGTTCGATTTCTGTCCACGCTTACCAACGTCTCCTCATTCCCTTCAGGCGGATTATTGTCCAATTCTTCCTTGTGTTACAGAGCTCGCACTGATGTGTCAGAACACAAATTGTGACTCCAGCTCCGGTCCGTATGCCCATTGCATAAACCGAAGAGGGCTCACAAACAGGTGGGACAGGTTGTTCCATCATCTCCGACTCCACATCATCCTACGGTCAACCATTCAACAACGATGGCGGTGGAGTGTTCGCTATGAAGTGGGATGGGAGTGGTATCTCCATTTGTCAGTTATCTTCCTCTAACCGATGACTTGAGCTGATATACTTAGGGAATTGGAATCGTTGGGATATCCCACAAGAGTGAGTCTATCTCATTTGAGATAAACATGAGGTTATTTGCTGATGGAAAGTATAACCAACCAAAACCCTGATCCTACGACTTGTACGTTGTGTCTTCTCCACACCCTCGTTGTGTGTTGTCGAGCAGAAGGATTGACAGATAGGGGGTTTACCGGCTGCCGAGTTTAGCGGGAATTCATGTGATATGGGACGTTATTTTCAAGCTCAAGTTTTGATCCTCAACATTGATCTTTGTGGTGAGTTCTCATCAATCATCATCCGATCTACACGATTGTCAGATTGATTACTGAGTCTTCAGGTGATTGGGCAGGCGGAGTGTATTCTAGTAAGCTACAGTCCGTCTTCATCTCTGGCGTGAGCTTACGATTATAGCTTATTCTTATTGTCCTGGAACATGTGCCGACTTTATCGCCAACCCCGTACGTCCTACCACCATCACTTTTTACCTTTGCTCCCGTCTGTTCACCGTCCATATCCTGGATTCCATCTGCAGAGACAAGTACCGGTGGTGACATTCTGAGTTCTACTGATCTCCAGTCAAATTTAGATACCGCGGTCATGCTCATCAATTACATTAGAGTGTACCAACAGGGAGCTACCAGTCCCGTCTCCGCTCAAGCTGATAAGACCAACAACCTGACTGGTGCAGGAGGAGCCGTAGCCGGTCCATCATCCGCCCATCCATCTTTACGTTTGTCTCTCATACCCCTCATCATCGCCTCTTTCAGTTTTCTTCTCAGTATGGCATTCTTGGCGTGATCGTGATTTGTCTTGTTCAAAAATTGTACGTCGAAGGTGTATCATCATTTCTCCGGTCAGCTGAGTGAATGGCATAGACATCGCATTGAAGCATGGGATCGAGACCAAGTGGGTCGTGTGGGGCGTCATTCATGCATAGAGTTCGTTTCATCGTTATGGGGGAAAAAAAGGTACCAAGTCACAACAACATGAGGGTGATTGACTAAAAATGACAATCGTGCGAGAAAAAGGCTTCCAACGTTATCAATACAAGCTTTCACGAATCATGAACCAATCCAATGAAACTACAAACCCAAGGAATGAAACAGAGGGTATTATGAAGCTTTAGGAACGGAAGGAGTGGTACAGTTTCTCGGTGCGGCATGGGAACATTTCACATGGACCACGACTATTTCATCAGCTTAGCTCAGTTCAACATGTGGACAGCTGACCTGAACAATCATCACATTGCAAAGCCGCACGAGGTCCAATCTTCTTGAGACAAACGGGACATTTGGCAGAGATAGACATGACCTTTGGTAAGAAAGCGAAAGCGAACGTTGATGTGACTAATACGTCAGTCACCCCTCTATGCCTTTACCTGTCTTTCTCTTGAGAGATGATACCTGCATCAAGATGGAAGACGAGGAAGAGGGTATGAGGGAGGGAGGAATAACTCACAACTCGCAGGTCCCTTCTTGGCTGGCAAAACATCGTCTTTCCCTACCAAAGAAAATCTGTGCGTACCCAATGCTCCAACTTGGGCTTTACGTTCTTGTTCCATCTGATACCTCGTCTGAAGTTGACCTTTTTCATCGAAACTCGCTCTCATCCTAGTGGGCAATAGTTCGGAGGATGACAAAGACGGTAACATTTCTCCTGATTCAGAAGGACTGATTTCTTCTCTCTCCGTCGTTGCGACATTCTTGTTCTCCACTTCGGTATGTGCGCCTTCTTGCTTGTCAAACACGACTGGGGGATCTGGTATGGTCATTTGATCACCTGGTCTAGGCGTGGCTTGTGGAGAATTTCCCTCGGCGACTTCAACTTCAGGACTACCCTTGATGGTCATCGTTGAGATGGGTTCGACTTCATGGGTAGGAGGGGTAGCGGAGAGTAAATTAGAAGCCCCGACCACCTTGTCTCCCAAAGCCGATTGCACACTTTCGTTCAGACTGGCGGCTAACGTCCCAAACGTTCCTTCAGAAGGAATCAATGGTTGATGGTCTACCACATCAGCATCCCTGACACAAACTCCTAAAAGAAGAGTGCTCGACCCACCTCTCATCTCACTGGCATCGGTGTAAAAGCTCGAATCACTCCCCTCTTCCCATCTGGCATTCCTCCATGTGGTGTTCTTTGCCGGCGTAGCACCCTTCCCGTCAATTTGCAATCCAGCCAATGCCTCCAGAGCTTCCGCTTCAATCTTGGCATCTTCATCTCCCATCGAATCTGCCATCGCTTCAGCTATCTGTTCAGGATCGGCGAGTGTACGATTGTTCGATGATGTTTCTGTCTCTGGCACAGCTTCGGGAGGATCGAATATGGGCATAGCACGCTTTCCTCGATGGACCAATCTGATCGAACCGACATGTTCACCCGTATCGGCATCGAGTGAGGCTAAAACCTCCACCTCAATAGTTCGTAGTCGTTCTAGCACTTCAGACATGATAGGACGGTCAAGGGGTTCTTCTGCACAACAGTTGAGGGCGAGTTCGGTGAATGCTGGTGGACAATTGGGGGATACTCGACGACGGACTTCCTCTGGATCCGGTGTCCAAGATGGTGCTTGGCGCTAAATGCGTTAACCTCCATTCCCATCTGTCACATCATACACTCAAGAGTCCCAAGATGGATGAAACGTACCACAAAGTTCTTCGAATCTACCAGACGCCGACACATGATTTCGATGAAGATGATTCCCAAAGAGAAGACGTCAGTTGGGAGATCGAATTGCTGGCCATTGATGATCTCTGGACTCATGTAGCCCTATTCCATGAGCTCATCCATCGGAACTGGCCAACTCATCCGGAACAGTCCCGGAGAATACGACGAGGGCTACTCACATCGGTCCCGCAATAAGTCATTCGCCTCATCTCTTCCTCATTCCTCGAAGCAATTCTGGCAAAGCCAAAATCGGTAACCTTGACTCGTTCGTTGGAAGTGATGAGTAAATTCTCTCCTTTCAGATCTCGATGAATGCACTGCGCGTCAACTTCCCATACCTCGCAATAATTCCTCTTGGAATACCTTTCGAGACGAGAAAAGGAGCATTGCCATGTTATGGAAGAAGAAGTACGTACCTGCCGAGCATGTAGATAGGCCACGGCACGAGCTACATCCGTAGCAAATGATAATCTCAACCGCCATGGAAAGGCGTAAGGAGATAGAATGAACTGTCGTAGGTTTCCACGGGGTACGTATTCGGATACGATGCTGGAATGAGCTCTTGATTCCTTTCGACCTTCCTCAAAGCTCCTCTTCATCCACCCTCGATCCCAAGAAGCTTGGTGTCAAGTAAGAGATGGAAGTGAAGACGACTAGTTGAGGGATGAATCGTTTGGCTCAGAGCTGAGACCAGAATGTATAGAATCAGATGAGGTACGATCAGTCCAGATTACGAAGGAGGTCAGAGCTAGAATGGATAGAGAAGGCTGGAATTTGACACGAGCAGGTAAGATCACTCACAATACTCTATCATCCCCATCTGGAGCTTTTGATAAACCTAGGAATAAGACAATATTAGGATGTCTACATTCTCTCATAATCCTCCATTCACGTTCGAAGTATTTGTGAACCTATTTGTTAGCTGGCCAGAGGGGTAAAACCCCAAGGTAGCAAGAGGGATCACATCGTTTCCCATGAGGATGGGCAAACACTTCGATGACAGGTGTATGAATTGTGGAAGAGGCGAGAAGGGTACAAGTGAGGAGTTGGTGATAATGATACGAGTATTAAAGAGGTGATGACAATGATACTAGTGAGGAATAGAAGACAAATGTACAAGTTTTCTTTAGAAAAAGAAGAGGAGTAGTAGTACCTATGATGGAGAAGAAAAGGAACACTCACATCATAATCATTAGAAGGTAAAACTTCCTTGATAGCAATCTCTATACCCAAATATGATCCTTAATCATCAACTCATCACTTGGATACTTGAATTTCACTTGGTTACTCACCTCTATGAACACTTCCAAATGACCCTGAACCTAACCTCTGTCCCCATTCAATCTCGTGGTACTATTTCTGATCAATTACAAGTACTTAGAGAATTGAGAAGTTAGACATACGGGTATGATATCAAAGTCCATCTTGATTCTTCAACCTTGACAAGTGAGAAAGAAGCAGGAAGGAGAAGAGATAGAGTTGGAGTAGAAGGGTAGGAATGTGAGTTAAAGCGAAATGATGATGGCATCATCGTCATCTTTTGTACTCGTAAAGTATTAAGTTCTGATTCCATAAAGTGAGTGATCGGCGATGAAACATACAAGTACGAGTATCTTTGGGAATTGCCACTTTGAGAAAATTACCTCTGGTTTCATCTATAGTACTTCTCGATTCTATACTGGGCGCTGCAAGTTGCATACGAGTACGTCGCTTGAGGGAGGCATCAAAGAGAGAAGCGTGATAAGAAGATGTATCATTGTGCATATATCCCAACCTGTATAACTAAAACAATCCCAATAAATCATCCTCCGCTTTACCCCCCGTCACAGTTTGAGGAGTTGGTGATGTCATCGGACCGTTATTGTTATTACTCGTCGGCATGAGAGATGGGACGGAAGGCATGAGTTGAGCTGGGTTGGCGGTAGGAGCGGATAGATTGGGAGAAGAAAACAAATCCATCAGTTCGTCCAACGGATTACTAGATTTCGCTACGCTCGCAATGGTCTGATTGGAGATGAGTCCATCGGCTAGCGAACGACGACGTTCATCCGGAGCTGAATCGTCTGCGTCAAAGTCGAGAAGGTTTTCAGCTTGTTGACCTGCAACAACGGTCTGAAGTGCTTTTTCTCGAGTTTCATCTTCAGGTCTACATGATCAGCATCATACATGATGTCAAGTGGAAATACTCACTCGACTGCTTGACGTCCTATTTCGTCTGCTCCGAGTCTACCTTTTCCGATGAAAGTGGCCGCGGGTTTGTGATATACTGATGCTAGTGACGATATCTCTCCCAGCAACTCTTCTAATATCGCTGGTGCCACAGTGGTCTGAGGAAGACTGATCGGAGGTCGGACAGAGAGCACAACAGCCTGGGACGTGAGCTGATCCTAAAATGCAAAAGGAGATGGCTCACTTTGGCAGCTGCGGGGTCAGAGGACAACAAGCGCCAGTAAATATAAGCTCTATCTCGGACATCCGGACTGTCACAATCTTTAGTAGCCGCTTGGAGTACGCGCTGAACAATTCCCTGAGCAGTATCGGGCTTCTTCAGAAACAGCTTGACAATAGCTGTGAGGGTTTGAAGTTGAACCTATACTTTAAGTTGGACTTCCAAAACGAGGAACATCACTTACGGGATAACTCTCCTCCTTGAATGACTCCAAGAATGTTCCTAACAGTTCGTCGGCATTCTCAATCTTCTCCGCATACTCTCCGATGATCCATATGAGCGACGCCTTCGCTTCAGGTTCGTCCAACTCTTCTAGATTCGAGCAAAGGACAGGAATGACACCTTCGTAGCTATGAGGGTATTTCCGGAAGATGTCCTAAAGTGTCAGACCTTACTCAAGAGAACGAACACGAGCTCACCTTGATCACAATTACGGCCTCTTGCACCACGTAACTCACTCTCGTCTCTATCAACTCCATCAAGACGCCAACACATCTTTCTGCCGCTTCTTCAATCTTGATGGCTGTTTGACCGATCGCCCTGACGGCTTTCCGGACGAAATCGACGTCCACTTCTGAAGCATACCTGACATGAGTTTCGACTTAACATATGACCTAGCTGGACAGATATTAGAGTCGCGACAGTAAGGATGAGTGAAGCTAGGAAGGAGTCGGGTATGTGAGGGACAGAAGTGAGTAAGGAAGGAACGAAGAGCTGGCTGTAGACCCACTCTTTCAATTCTCCCAATAATGTCTCGACATTATTGGCATTCGCCAACCGTATCATGATATCTAACTTCTCCACTTTGACATAAGGTGGGTCATTATATTTGCAGAAGAACACTCTCATCTCATTTGCCAATATATCCGGACGTTTCTGCAGAAGCAAGTTGATATTACGCAACGCGACCCATTGTATCTCAGGAGCTGAAGATATCAGAGTGACGAGAGGTGGGGCCATTTTTCGTGTGAGGGACTTCAAAAGATCTTCCCGCTGTATTTGTTTGATGTGTATCATGATCACCTAAGTATTAGTAATTTTCTCATCTTGATGTATCAAGCCATAGAGGAAAGTATGAGAAACATAGGATCTCACCTTTACCGCTCCGAGCACTACCGCAGCATTGGCATGTTGAAATTGTGGCATCACTCTCTCACAAATCTGTTCTGCCTCTTGTACGTCGACGGCTTTGTATCTCGCCAACGTTGACAATACTGCTATTCTTCCCCACTCGGAACATTCGTTCAAAGCTACTAAAAGTTTTGCTAAAGTAGGTTGATCAATGATGAGTAATTGTGGAGAAGGTCGGGATGTAGGGGGAGGAGTGGATCCTTCTGGTGAGTCGGGATCGGAAGGTGAAACAGTTTGAGAAGCTTCATGAATGTCCGCGAGGGCCGTGACGGCATTAGCGACCACCTATAGCTCAGCTTGACCATCTCACACAATACTGTTGTCCAGACGATGTGAAGTGAGGGTTGGATGATAGTCGGACGGATGAAATTCACGCACCATTGGATTTCCATCCCCGATGAGATCTCGGAGAGTCTCGATAAATCCGTACTCTACACAAAGCTCAGGTTTGAGATCAAAAACCTTCGCAACACACAAAGCGGCAGTTTTTCGTACGTAGGGATTTTCGTCTTTCAGACATCTAGAAAGGGGTGAAGCTAGATAATCGAGGATCTTCTCTGCGCGAAGGACGGACATGGTCCGTATGGCTAACGCTCTGACGAGGGGATTAGGATCTGCTGTATCCTATACTATTAGCTCTGAGCATCTCAAATCATATTCGAATCCCAATTATGCGGCGAGTTCGATGAACTCAGTCTACCACTGATGGAGAAAGGGTACAACTGGCATGATATGAAGAACTAATTTACATACCTTGACAAAGGTATTAACTGCCAGAATGACCAATTCAGGTTGTGTCTTGGCATAATTCATCAAATATAGATATACCAACTTCTTCTGTTCAAGATCTTCCGTTTGCTATGACTATCAGTCTTTTCAATCTTCCCAGCGCTCCGAACCTGGGTAAACTGTAGCTGACGGAGGGCGTTGGGAGTGAAATTCAACATCTTGACTGACCATATTCTTGACCACATCAGGAAACAAACCACTACAGTCTTTCCCGATAGTATGATTGGCGATCACACGTTTGATAGCATCAGCGCGCTTCTCGCGATACTCTGAATTGAGCTGTTGACGAAGCTCCCAATTCTCCCCTGTCCATTAGCTTCATCAAACGTAATGGTAGGGCTCGAGACATGCCTCGAGAGGGTGTTGCATATGGTTTGGGCGTGAACAGGAACATTTGGGATAGTTTGTGACTCATTTTGATCACAGAAGATGACAGATGATAGTCAAGAGGGACAGGAAAGGAGGACAAGGGCGGGAGGAATGTGAAAAGACTGACCTTTTCGAGGAGCTGCCATCTTGTCAAGTGTCTCGACACGAGCACGCGGGAAAGTCTGGAAGGGCGCTGTTGTTCGCTTGATTCCTCGTGGAGCCTTTGAGGGGGAATTTGTCAAGATGAGAAAGCGAAAAGCATGAGAGTATAGTAGCGATGGACTGTTGTAGGTGAGCCAACTAGAGGTTGAGAATTGAAGTGGTCATTGCGTGGCGATTTGTCTCGCGTGGCACTTTGGTGCATGTCCATATTGGGTCCGCCGCGTATGGTGGCAACCGCAAGGAATGCCTCTTCTGCAAGCTTAAACCACCGATACATGAAAGCAGATGAGGTACAATCATACAGATACATACTTAGATAGTCTTGGGACGCTTGAGCAAAACCGCATCTTCATCCATCTCGTCCTCCGTCGTCTCTCCCCCTCTGCTATCCACCAAACTCAGTTCACTGCCTCCCTTCTCCTCACTCCCATCGCTTCTGTTCTCCTGTCGAGTACTAGTGAGTCTCTGTTTAGTCATATCCAGCACAGGTGGGAACTCCGCCCGAGGAGTTTCGAGATCGTCTATACTGCTGCTTGGTGAAGGTGAAGGTTGTGTCGGCCTGGGAGAAGAGATCTGGATGAGCGTTTCCAACATTTGACGACGGGTAGATTCGGCCAGGGAAGAGACGTCATCCACTGTCAAGCCAGCTGTAGAGATTGGTGGAAGCACTATCATAAAGTCAGTCGGATCATGACAACGATTAAATGAGGGATACCGACCTTTGATGCGTAGACGCCCACTCTCCATTCTCGTTCGTCTATCGAATAACCGATGATAATTCTCGCACACGATAGCGACAATTGGGACCTGCGCTTGGATGGCGAGATGAAATGCGCCCTTCTTGAATGGCAGCAAATTGCATTCTGCGCGACATGGAACGAGTTCCTTCAGGGAAGATCCAAAGAGAGATCTACTAGTCAGCTTTGACAGATTCTGAATGATACCCAAACCGACCCCTTTCTTCTTCATATCGTCACCGGCCTTTTGAATAGCTTTCACGGCATCATGACGATTTCTCCGATCCACAAATACAGCGCCGGATAATGCCACTACTGGTCAGTTGAACAAGCGGAATCTGGGGAGATGGACATGCAATATTGACCCAAAATAGGAGACCATTTGAGTTCTTGCTTAGCCATTATACTAGCACCCCGGGGAAATATCCGACCCAAGTAAAGGATATCTAAAGCGCTGTCAAATCAACACATGAGGTTTGCGTTTGGAAACGGTCACATACCTCTGATGATTTCCCAATAAGACGGCAGATTGTCCCTTGCCTCCATTGGCCTTCTGAAGGTTCGTGAGATGCTCTCCACCTTCTACTTCAATTTCTATTCCAATCAAGGGACCACAGGTATGATAAAACGAGCGGGCGACGATGTAATTTATATTCAGACGCTGCAAATGAGCCACGAGTGAGTGTAAGCAGAGAACACTTGATAACTTACCTGTCCGATAAGAGGCGCAAAGAGAGATATCACTACTCCCCAAGCACTCAGAAGACCCAGAGTACCGATATATATGGATAGGTGGAAGTAAAATCGGGCTCGTTGGTATCGTCGACTCAGAACGCCGAGGGTGGAGAAGACGATGGCGGTGGCGGCGGCAAGAGGCTTGATCAGCCATGGAAGGAACATTGCGAAAGTTGGAATCTACTTGAGAGGGCAGTCTCAAGTTATCAAGGGTGCCCCAGAGGGCGTATGAAGATATGCGGTGATGGCAAGTGTTATGACAAACGTGTCAAGAAGAACATTGAAAGCATGTTCAATTGGGGACGTTCTAGTCAATTGGGTGGGGAGGGCCGACCGCCGGCCCGGGAATCCTCAGGCGGCGATCGCCGCTTGTAATACAGTTGCTGGTCACCCGGTCCTAGCGGTGCGACATGCTGCGATGCTACCTGCTCTTTTCTCCAGCTATACTACGACCTAATAGTCACTTCTTGCCTGCGATCAAACCGGGCAACGATTAGGAGTCTCTGTTCACAGATAACAAACGCCCAACATCAACATGGTAAGTCGATAGCATATCAAGTAGCTCTCGCTGATCAGGCAGTCGCACACTGTCGAGATGCCTGTTGATGTCAAGGATGCCTTGCGCAAGTTCAGGTTCAAAAAGGCGACGGCAACCACTGCTATATCAAGTGAGCGTCGCCTTCCTCACAAATTTCGAATACATGTATCCACACGCAGGCCTTGGCAATGGCTGTATATGAGTCGAAGAAAAGCTGATAATCGAGTAAAGATCATCAAGGCCAAATTGACGATGGCAGTCGATGAGGAATTCTCAGATCTGAGCATTGAGGAGATTGCGGAAGGTGAGTCGTCTCTCATCATTTCTGACTTAGCTAACCAGCTTTAGAGTTACCAGAGAACTCCCCGCGCTACGTGATCATCTCACATGAGCTGGTGAGTCAGGCAGTAACGTTTGGAGAGCAGGTACTCACGGGTTGAAGAAACATCGGGACGGGCGGATATCTCAACCTTTGGTCCTGATCAACTGGCAAGTCCACTCATTACCTTTGCCCAATAGTATGGGGTGTTTTGTTATGGGGTACTGGAACACCTGACTTGACGTCGTCGAAGAAGCGCTGATCTCTCAGGGCGCCGAGCGGCTCACCAACCGATCTCATGACGCTTCACGCATCTTCACTGAGCTACTTTCAACAAACAGCAGAGGTGGCAAAGGTGAGCTCCCGGTGTATGTGAATTAATTGATACTAATGCGTAGGTCGTGGAGGTCCGAGATGGAGCAGAAGGGCTGACGACGGAAGTGGTAGACGAGCGACTGTTAGCGGCGTAAAGTGACGTGCGACTGTGAACTTGTAGAAGATCTCCCTTTCGATGATTTCTGCTGTATATGACCATGAGCCTCAGAGGATTATGTACGAAATATACCATGAGCGGGTTCTATATCTCGTGAGACAGCTGCCCTCAGCTATAAAGTACACTCACTACCCCGCCGTTAGACACGGAGTCAAAGTGGAGGTGGACCCGCTTCTCCCCTCTCGCACAGACCTAGTCAGTCCACTAAGCTTTTTACCACTACTTACTCTCTCTCTTTCTACCATTTGCCTGTTCTCTTTTCTCATCTGTTATTCACTCAGTCACTCATCTCCGTTGTCATCGCTTTCAGAAAACACACATCGCTCCTCTTCCTTCCCTCCCCCCTTTTCCGGTCTTCCGGAAGTTGGCAGGGACAGGATGACGGGCCATGGCTCAACCGGTGAGAGCTCCTTTCCCCATTGAAACTCTACCACTTCTTACATCATCAGTTGACCGTTCCTCCGAACAACCATCCAACAATCTATTCTTCAAACCATCAGTCTCTTCTATTCTCTCTCAGAATAACCTATCTCTCATGATTCTCCCGGATAGTGAGTTCGCCCCGTTCAAAAGCATTTTATCCGGCTCATAAGTCTAGATTACAACGACCTGATTGGTCCCATAACAACTACAATCATGCCCTATCATTCAGAAGAGGATCTCCGACTTTCTTCTTTCTCTCGAGCTTCATCTCCCTTGTCCGCCGCCCCAAGCATCAACTCGAGAGCCTCGTCACCTCTCAGCGACGCCCCGCCTTCCAGCCCGGAGCAGATGATTGTCACTCCCTTGGACGACGAGGAGCTCAGTGATCTCCCTCCTTCCGATGATGAATTCGAAGAGCCCCGTCCAGCCAAGAAGAGAAAGACGGGAAAGCGTCAGTCCACGTCCAAAACGCTCGTTGTGAAAGTAAAGGGAAAGGAAAAAGGCAAGGCCAAGGGAAAATCATCTGGTAGGAAAGCCAACGAGGACGACGTCTCAGACGCCGAGGACAGGGTCTCTCATAAGAAGGGGGTGCTTCTGGCCTATAAGCCGGAATGGCATGATCTGCAAAATCTGGCATGGGAGGATGATGAGCCGAGCCCTCTTTACAGGTTACCAGCGGAAGTGTTGGACCGCTGCTTTGGTGCCAAATCCGGTCTGGGAGTGAGTTTGAATAAAACTGTACCGCCTTTGCGACATGACTGACAACATCTAGTTCCGCGACTTTATCTCTTTGGCAGGAGTTAACAAATTCTTCCGTAATGCTCTAGATGACAGGTTCTTCAAGGTACGCATCATGTCAGATCCCGCTTGAAGCCGAGCGACAATGCATGAAGACATTCTCGTCGCTGAAGTTGTTTAGTCGCTGATAAGCAGGTTGTCTCTCATGCTTCCAGCATACTTTGCGGTCAGCAATGTGAGATCTGTAAAGAACGTCATTTCGGAGATCGACCTTTCTCTCACGTCCGCGACTGTTACACTCCCAAACCACCTCCTCAACGATGGATCAACCGCCAACCTACTCATTACATTCCTCGTGGTCCTCGAGCTTCATGGACTCGCGCACAATACACAGTCTACAAGGAAGAACAATCCGTATGGCGTCAGACCATCAAAGCTGAAGAGGCTGACTTGGCCAAAGTGATGGCTAAACACGCCAAGGCGTGCCGGAGAGACGCTAAGGCATCAGTCAAGGTAAACTATTATAACAGACGAGTATTAGCTGTCATCGATGGCAGATTGAATGGAGAACCTGCGGTTGAGAAGGATGATCGACGCATGCCTGTGTCACAAGGTCTGAGGACTCCTTCTACCGGTGCTGGTAGCTCAGCTATGGCCAATGCAATGGGAAGCCAAGGGTCTGAAGAACGCGAGACGGAATCACCTGACGTTGTGAAAGTCGAACTTGATGCTCCGACCATTTCTGTTTCGATACCCGACACAGAACCTTGGGTGGTGCCGGATACAGATGACGAGGATCTCGATTTCGTCCCTATGATCACATACGATGACTGTGGGGATCCAGAGGTTCATGATTTCTGGCCTAGTAAACACAGACGAATTGTAGCAAAGTTGGTGAATGAACCTCGAATTAGTAAAACTGTGAGTTCCCTCGCCTCTGAGCACCGACTAACGCTTTCAGGAAGCGATGCGACAATTTAAAGTGACCGAAGCGGAGCTCATCACTTTGAGACATGTCCTCGTTGTGAGTTTCAGTCTTCTTACTTGCAAACTACATGATGTGGACTGACCATTCAGCCAAACCCGATGAATGGTAAACAGTGAGTCAACTTTTTGCATCTGTGTTGATGAGTGGGTTGCTGACCATCAGACCTCAACAAATGTATGTGTTATGTGTCATGGGTAAGTGAAGTATGTTGTTAGCTGACTTATAGATTCATGCGAGCCGCAGTAGAAGCATTAGCCTACAGATCTCATGGCGGGGGAGCAGGGCATTTGGCTCATTTGTGAGTTTCTCATGCTTCTATTTCAACGTAGTCTCGGTTTACTGGCTGACGCTTTCAGGGCCAAAGCCAAAGCTCGAGCGGATAAGGCATTGGAAACTAGGAGGAAGAATGGAACCATTCAAAAGAAAAGGAAGATTGGATGTTCTTGTCCCGTCATCAAAGACCTGTTAGGATATTCTTTCAGGGACCATCGATGGTGGTAAGTCTTGCTTCTCTGTTGACATTCAGGTATTTGAGTTGACTTTTAGGTGTCGAACGTTTGAGGAAGATTTTTTCTTATGATCACATGTCCCGGAATGACTGGCTGGTCAATTCGCACTTGGATGACCCAGTCCATCGTGAACAATGTGCAAATGCGCAGTTTTCAACACATGTTTCAAGAGTGAAAAAGGGTGTTTAGCATATGATCAGAGAAGGACAATCATGTTGTTTTTCCGTTTTCCCTTTATTCAGTCAGTCAGGCATTTTCAATTATCCATGTATTTACGTATTCACGTACCCATGTACTCATGTATCACAATTCATGCATCACATGTCATGTATATACTCGGAAATCATTCAAACTTCACTCGTCAGGTTTTGCACCCGCTCAGTGATCAGTGAGATGAAAAAAAATAGGCGGCAGCAAGATTGGAAAAAACAACAATGCATGATGAAATCTGAATGCTTGTGTGTGAGATGATTTGGTCCTACTTTTCTAAACTAATCTTTATAAACCCCTCAACATACACGTCACCTCGCTCACGAACAATCTTATCACCTCTGAAACGCAAGGAACTTCACAAACTAAACTCTTACCAGAATCTAATCTCATCAACCGTTTTCCTAGCTTGCCTTCGATCATCTTGGCTTCACGTAAGACGGAATGAACGGTGATGACTATAGCGTCGATTTTTGGCAGAGGAGTGATAGGTCCGCAAGAACCATCAGAGGAAAGAGAAGCGTCGGTGATGATAAATCTGTTATGCTCTGCGGTGAGGGTAATGTCGATTGCGTATCTGAAACATTAGTGTTCGCCCGTGGAACCAAATCCGTTATCCACGCAAGTAAGACTTGACAGGTTGGATAAGTTTCATTATCAATCATGAGGCGGTGGTGATTTCATATCGAGCATCGAGTTCTGAAGGAGAAGGGAGGGAGAAGATGATAATGGACGAAAAGGGATGAACTGTCAAAGAGAATTATATACTCACCGTTTATCATTAACATCCCAAACTAATCGATAATCCCTCACACCACTAACGACCAATTGAACATCGAAACTTTGTTTCAACACTTCCACCTCTAACAAAAGTGGTAAAGTAGCTTTGAGCAAACCTATAAATCGTCTACCTGCACTGCCTACCCCAAATGCCGTGCCACGTTTCACGACCAATTGATTCAGATAATAACTCAACAGAGGAGCGAGTTTTTCATGAGGGTTCGCATCCACACCTGCAGGATTAGAAGCAGGGGTTATACCTGCCATAGTGGCCGGTGTGGAAGAAGCCGTGTTCAGTCGAGAGAAAGATGTTTCGTACGTATCCCCCATGGGATCGTATGTGATTGAAGCGCAGAAACCAGGAGTATAGATGAAGGTAGCTGTACGAAGGTCGAATGATAGGAGACGTAGATCAGAAAAAGGACTTTCTTTCTTCAGACGATGAACTGTAGGTCAATAAATCTTCTTCACCTAGAGCGTACGACACTAGAGGGTAATCTTGTCACCGGGAAAGTGGGATTGAAGAATGGACTCACCTTCTCCAGCCACGACAATCACCTTACTAAGTCTCTCCCATTGTTCCAAAAAATTCACCACACAATTCCTTATGTCCGAAGCGTGAAATTGCACCACTGAAGAAGCTTGATCAAAAGTGATATCTTCCGATTTTCCAGCCGCAACAGCTGCAGCGCCTACCAGACCAGGAGAACCAGCTGCACCAGATACGGCAGACCGATGACGAAGCTGTACCGCTGTGACCGCACCACATCGTGTACCCTTCCACCAATCTTTTATCTGAATGAAGACTTTTGGCATTGCTACGTCTGCGGCTGGTCCGCTTCTTAGTAATTCGGCGGCTGACACACTGAATATCGGGATCATACCCGCCACTGTCGATTTGGAAGTCGGCGCTCCTTCGCCTGCGCTAGCGGGATATTGAGCATTATATGGGATGGAACGATCTTTCAGCTGTTGTTCGATGATGGTTTGAGCTACAAGAGCGTTGGCAAAGATGAAGACATCCTTAAGATCGCGATTTGTAATGTGAAATCCTGATATAGTAGGAACGGCTTTGTCAGATTGACCTGGAGCCTTGGGTCCTGAGTGAGGTTTACCTGAATCTGGAGGAATGATTCGACTGGAACGACGTGCTTTCAAGCGTGGTAAGTCAAGAGGTGATCGTTCGCCAATGGACAGGGTTTGAGTAAGAGCGTGTTCAGAGGACTTGCGAGTAAGACGGATGAGCTCGAAGAAGATACCTTGTGGGTTGGTTTTAGCAGCGAGGAAATGTAGAGGGGAGGAAGGCACAGGAACAAATACAGTGGTAGAAGGATGTAAGTCGGTTTGGGATATCTCTGAAGGACGTCAGCATACCGATTTGTCATCAATTTGTGAAAGCAGCTGACCTTGTGAGGGGAGACCCAATCGACGGATAGGACCCCAGCCCATTTGTCTCATTTGATCCTCCACAGCTTCGATGGCGAGCTATTCGTCAGCTTGGTGTAACCCTACACAGTCGGACAACTGACAGCAATGATCAGACGTATGAGATCTGGCCCTAGTTTCCCCTTGCCGTTGTTCGCTCCGACGGTTACTTCGTTCACCCGGGCTGATCGTGCATCGCCACGTTTCGCTCCGCTATCCTGGACTTCCACCATGCCTGTGATGGATGAAACACCAATCGAGATGGAATGACGTTGTTGAGAAGGAATAGGTACTTGAAGAACGAGCGGACGAGCAGATGTAGTGTCAGGATTTTCATGGATGACTGGCGGTGGTGTGAGAGATGCCACTCGAGGGATGGCCAATATTGGGGTGACAATATGACGGCTTTTCGCAGAGGCATGTCGTCTTGTTATCTCGCCGATGATATCCTCGACATCTAGATTTGCTGGATCCTGCACTGATTAGTTTTGAGAATGAATGAGCGGGCAGAAGGACATACTGGTATGATGGAAGAAGTATTCATCCTATCCCCTAATCTCAGAGGACCACCAGTCCCAGCTTCACCGATCTCCCACTTGATAGACAGACGTAAGTTTAACACCCGCTCTTTGGCATTCATGCCGATCGTTCTGAAAGACCCGAGCATACTCATAACTTTCTCGTCGACACTGGGAGGACTTTCATCCAAACCAATAGTGATGACACCTCCGACGTAGGGTTGTCGTGCTTTCACATTGGCGACGGCGGCGCTGGCCAGTGATCGTTTGCCGACTGCTGTTGTTTTGGTAGGGATGGGCACATGAGGTCTAGGACGAGGCCAATATCTCAAACGCAGTTCTTTGCGAGGACGATCAATTTCAACGAGCAAGTGACCCCGACGCTTGCCTTGGCTCAGAGCCATTGCTTGCATGAATAAAACTTCCATTTGATAGGACAGTGAGAGATGCTCTGGCGTGGTCAGCTCCTGTCTACTTGCCAGCGTCTTGTTTCATGATGCTTACGAAGAACATTGTGAAGCCGTATTAAAGGAGCATCGACCATTTTGCCCCGATCCTCTTCCTCTTCTCCACCTTTAGTCTCACCCTGTCGCACCGGCCGGGGCGGGAGGACTCGTGAGTTGACCATTTCCATCACTTGTTGCCTTCCTTCAGGTGTTAAACGTCCAGAACCGCCTGGGTCATCCACGCCTTTGCCCTTACTTCTCCAAACCCACTCCACACCGGTGAGCCACCATCGTGTTTCTTGTCCTTCACCAAAACCCCATATGGTCATCTCAGCCTTCCAACCGATCTTTCCTCCGCCAGATATATAAGCTTTCCCATTTTGAACCCTGTCGACCTTTATTTCTGGTGGTAGATAATCGATACATCGTAAGCGAAACCGAATATGTGTGTTGAGAGCCTGAAGTGTATCCACGATAGTCTTGTTCGTGAGGGATTTTCGAAGCTGGAATTCTTGCGTCAGAGAAGAAGGTAATCGGGTATATGTACCAGAGCTAGCCAGAGCAACAGCAGTGAGGACATCTGCATTTCGTACGCTACAAGTTCAGCTACAGCTTTTTGGGCATCAGTCGAGAAAAGAAACTCACCGTAAGCTGTCGACCATGGCGACGGAATATTTGAGATGAGCTACTGCCTCTTCATGCTGACGATTTTGATGTTCCAGCAGATGAGTGATCCTCTTGGCATCTGTGACTTTACCTCTGATGACCCTCGGCTCTTCATTCACGAGCTTTCCCTTCCCTTTGATGGAGTACGATCCGGGACTGCTATTATCGCCATTCCCATTTGATTCACCAGATGAATGAGGTGTGGGGAATGAAGCGGATGGGCCGATTGTCGTAAAAGAGGATTGGGGAGGGGCGAAAAGAGGAACATCGACATTCATCTTCCATCGTAATACTGCGAGGTATTTCAGAGCGGCATGTCGCGTCGTTTTGGCAAACTCGATGATATGTTTGGGTTTCTGTCTGGCAGTAGACGCTGGAAGCCTATATAATCAGCACCTCGTCATATAATTCACATCTGCCCTTTCGGCAAGCCGGAGTTGAAGAACGAATTGATGACTTACGTTTTCTCCACCAGGTGGCGCATGTCCGAGTAAGTTTTACGCGTCAGACGGTCAAGAAGGAGTCCCAGAGGAACGTTTTCATCTTCGAAATAAGGCGGAAGTTCTTCTTCTATCTGCTCAGGTGTTGGGGTGGGGTAGGTGAACCAAGGATCTGGACCGAGTTGAGGGTTGCGGGGTGCAGTGGTTGTGAGACCGGCCGGGGAGGAAGAAGGACCGGCTTCCGGTTGGGTAGAAGAAGAAGAAGGTAAGACGCCTTGAGACGCCATGATGACAATGTTAGCTCATGGATGGAGCAAGAAGAAAGTGGCCAAGTGGAAAAGGTGAAAGAACATCAAAGGGGTTTTTCCGGTGTTGGCTCAGAGCGCTCTTAGCGAAGTTATAGGCGTGCATGCTTGCTCATGAACAGTCGGACGCCTATCTTTCTAAACATTCGATCGTCACGAATTCGGACGGCGGAAGGCGATGATATAAGATAGCCCCCAACATATCGACTTGGTTCTCGCAACATCAGCCTTTGGAAAGTATGGACGTGGATCTACATGCCGTTCTTGATAGAGCTGGTCAGGCGGATAGATTAGGACGTAAGATTGCTTATGCTCTTCAACTCGTAGACCGTGTCCTTACTGATTTAGGGTATGTCCTTCCCATACAATCTACTCCTGTTTTATGCTGATGATAGGGAACATGCCGTGGCTATATCTTTCAATGGTGGTAAAGATTGCACAGCTCTATTACATCTTTACGCCGCTTTGTTATTAGCTCGACATACCAACATTCCTCTTCCCACACCCCAAGATCTCACAACTGAAGACCCTGATCCACTTGATCGACGAACACCTTCACCATGTCCTGAAGTACCTATCGATGGACCTCCCACTACACCACCTCCAATCTCTTTCAACCCCGTGGATGTCTTGACTTCGATTCCACAAGCTTCATCCTCTTCGACAGCTTCTCAGAAGCTTTCATTTCAGACAAAGGCCAAAAATTCTGGAGAGCATAGAGCGACACATCATATTCCATCTGCCGATAGATCCCATTCATTACCCTACGACCCCATTAGAAGTATTTACATCACCTCTCCTAATCCTTTTCCTCAGTTAGAAACGTTCGTTCTAGATTGCACGGAGAGATACGGCATGGATCTGTATCGTTTTGGAGGTGGGATGAAAGGCGCTCTATGTTCGTATTTGGATTGTCAAGGTGGGAAAGGCGTCAAGGGCGTTTTGATGGGTACCAGGAAAGGTGATCCTAATGGAGGTCAGTTCTCCTATCCATTTCATATCATGTCCTCTCCATTTGACTGATTGTCTCAAACACAAAGAGATATAACACGAAAAATCGAAGGCTACTCACTCTTCAAATCTGGATACCCTGATATTCAGCATGACAGGAAGACGATGAACGTAGGTGAAACGTGGGGATGGAATATACATACGACAGTCTTAGGAGAATTAAGGTGGAAGGAAGCTCGAAACCTGACAAGCAGACGTGGCAGAATTAGCACCTACCGATCCTTCCTGGCCGAGCATACTCCGTATTCATCCCCTCTTACATTGGTCCTACGCCGACATATGGGATTTCTTACTCGAGCTAAAGGTACCTTATTGTGAACTGTACGATCAAGGCTACACATCTTTAGGATCCAAACATAACACTTTGCCTAATCCGTTGTTGGAAGTTGATAGAGGTTGGGAACCAGCTTGGAAACGTGGGTATAACATTCCTATTTCTCCTTCACCCTTCCCCCTTCCACAAATTCTATATCTCGTCTTACTCTTTTCCAAATGTACCCATCGAGGAGCAAATTCACGTTCAAAACCGATGAACTAATCATAGTCATCGACGAAAGTCAAGAACGTGCAGGCCGGATAGACCAATCATCATGACAATTCATTACATCGCACCAAAAACTTCTAAACATGCATTCATCAATGATAGCTATGAAATATGCATACTTTCCACTTGGATCTCCAATGCCAATCAAATCGTTGATGCCCTTTATGCCCACCAATACCCCCAACACGTAAACATGATTCTATTCACTGTTACTCGCTCACATCTTGTTTCCAAACACACCGCACATCATGAAAATCAATACACACTTTTGTAGTCCCGCTTAACCCCGATTTATAGGTATGGTTACTTCTCCTTCAAACCAGCTACGATATCCCCATAACTCGCTCTTCTCTCTCCCAACTCACTCGCACTAGGTCTTAATTCGTCCATGCTCACCCTGTTCGCCCTGAGATCGTCCTTACCTCTGCCGAATATGGCATCGGCACTGACTGATGAAATGATGCCACTGTTGTCACAGTCCTTGTTCGATTCCTGTGACATTTCTTTCTGACCGTCGTAGTCATACCGCTCGAAATCAGGAGACACCTTTGTAGGCTCCTGAGCCAGACTGCGGTCGGCCAACCTATCTCGGGCGTTCAGAGGGGAAGGACTCGGAGTCAATTTACCAGTTATGTCCGACCCATCGATGCTCAAGGTGGAAAAATAATCGCCGAGGGTTTGAGAGATGGTGGGTTGTCCCACTGGACCAGCTCGGGGTCGAATAGGATTATTCGGGAATGTCTGAGTGGTTGGTGTACCAAGCTGTGCCGATCCACTAGTATAACGATAGATAGGAGCACCAGGAGCAGGGTTGAGCAATGGATTAAAGGGTCTCTGTGTTGGCGAAGTGATAGGAATACCAGGAGAGAAAGGCGCAGACGGTCCAGGGGGTAAGAATGAATGCATCACCGGAGGAGTTTCCGGATAGGCATGAAAGACAAAACCAGGCATAGAAGGTGTCATAGGTGGTAATCCGCGAGTCTGTAGCGGTGACATAGGGTTGAAATTGTCCATAGGTTGATATGAAGGTAAATTGATTGGACCTGGATGAGCGTGACGGAAATTGCCGATTTGAGGGGTCGAATCGTCAATCCTTCTCATTGGACGAGCAGGAGTGAATTGAGTGTTCTGTCCTGTATTGAGAGCCCAAGGTACCTTCTGAGAGACGGGGGACACTCCGTTGACTCGGGAGGGGTTGATCGTCACATCGATGTTTGCAGGATGACGGATGACCGCGGCAGGAGATGGTTCTCTGGATTTTCCGACAGCAGTCATAGAAACTGCCGTACTCTCAGAGGGAGGTCGACTGTGCGCTTTCTCAAGGTGCACAGTGATTTGATTGTCACCGACATGTGTTCCATCAAAGAGTTTGACAGCGCTTGCTGCATCTCCTTCGCTTGCGAAAAGTGCGGTGCCGTACCCTCTTGATCGGCCATCAGCATCCGTTGCAACGCTGCGATCAGCATAATCATGGCGGATGAGCCAGTACTCACTCCGCCCGTATGATGTATCCCGCGGGTCGAAGGAGATCTTTCAGGCTTTGCCATTGCATATGTATCGGAAGCTGGCTGTCAGTGACAATCATGTAACGACAGCTGACACGGACATTGGTGACAAATACCACCCGGTCGTGCAGAGTCGAAGGCGGTCCTAGGACAGCCCCGTTATGCAAGAGACCCTCCATACCGAATGGGACAGTTACCGGCATATCGCTGGGCGAGGAGGCAGGTCTGTCACTAAGTCCTTGACCGTCAGACGGAACATCAGAACGGCCGCCGGGGAACGGGGGAGGCAGATTACCCAGATTACTTGGTACCGGATCTCGTGTCGGGCGGGGTTGAGGATTAGGATGATCTGATGACGACGCATAGCCTGGCAGGCCTCCATTCGAGCTGCCTCGAGAGAGTGGTAACGATAGTGGCGGTGCAGGTGAAGCGCTGCGGGGAAGGGAGGTACTCGAGGCATTCGGAGAGATAGACTGAACAAAAGCTGCGAAAGATCCGCGTCGGGGCTCCTCGTTGAAAGTACCGGCCGAGAGGGAGCCCGCAAGCGGAGACGCACCGAGGGGCAGGAAACCATGTGAGCCAGTATTTTGGCCACTCAAGGGTAAGGGAAGACCGTTCGGGCCAAATGGAGGAGTCGGGGAATGTGATATGAGCGGAGGTGAACCGGAGGTTCCAAGATGGGAGGGATGGGTTGAGGGGTTGAAGCCAGGCATGGGATGGGTGCCGAACATCGGTTGAGAACCTGGACCATGCGGGAATCCTAAGGGAGGTCGAGGGGCTGGCAACTGTCCCGGTAACCATGTTGAGCTGTTTGAAGGTGTGAGGTGACCGGGTAGGGGGAAGGGCGGATGCCCCATGCCGGACATGTTCTGGTATGGGTACATCGATGGCCGAGGGATAGCGTGATGTGGATGAGGTTCATACTCCGGTGGAAGACGGTCAGGTCGGACTTCGAGCGTTCGAGTCTGCCATGTAAACCCATTGAACCGATCTGATATCAGTCACGATCAATGACTGATGTCAAGGGGTTACTTACCGATAGCTCGAGCGGCATCCTCCCTGCTTCCCATCAAGACTGTCCCATATCCTCGACTCCTGTTGTCGGAATTGAGACTGACATCGGCTCTCAGCACTGTGCCCGCTTTTCTGAACAGATCTTTCAGATCTTGCCATCTCACGCGATATGGAAGCTATGGAAGTCAGTCAAAATCTCGGTCAGAGCAAAAACTTACATTGCCAACAAACAGATTTACTCGTCCATCTACACCTACAGCTGCAGGCAGGAGGTTCGTCATAAGCGGGGTAATGGACCTACTCAAAACTGCTTGTTAACGTCAGCGACACAAAATTTGGGTAAAATGAAATATCTCACCCTCAATGGGAGGTTCTGGAAGAAGAGGTGGTGGTGGTGGAGCGTTTGCTTCAGCGTTGGCGATGACCGCGTCGATCTCGTCAGAAGTGAGAGGTCTGGAGGGAGAATGTGGTCTGGAATGTATACGAGAGAGAGGTTGAGAATGTGAGATAGGAAGCTCATGGGGCGCTGGCTGATAAGTGAACATTGGCGTATGAGTCGGAGGTGGAATAAAGTCGTTCATCTTGAAATGTCAGCCATCAACGTCATACGACTGAGCGGTATGCGAAAAGCAACGAATTGTGAAAAGGAGAGGATGACGGTGTGACTGCCAGAGAGTGTATGCTGCGTAGCTGTGTGACCGACACAAAGGGAGGTTGAAGGAGAGATTGGGGAGGAATGTAGAACGCAAAGCTCACCCCTGATATCGGTGCATGGCCTATGATGTCGTGTGCATGTTGGGCGTTGGTGTCGGTTTGACCAGGGTCGTTGACACTGGTACCACGCTCGGGCGTGGTAGATAAATGAGGGAGACTCGCTTCTCCCGGTTGGTCTTGCTTCTGAAGCGGAGGAGGTTCACCCTGCATGACTCGGCTTCAGACTGACCCGACCGAGTCGTGCTATGTACAGATAGAGCCAGTGGACAAGGAGATGGTGAAAAGAGTACAAAGGGTAATTATGAAGGATGATGAGTCGTTGAAAGAAATCGAAGGGATGTTCGGTCAGTCTTGACGATCGTATGACGTGTAAGAATTGATTGATACGCAGACCCAAAAGAGTGACAAGATGAACAATGAATGATGCTATGTCGAGATCCCAATGGCCGAAGTACCGCTTAATGATGTTGTAGATCCTGAAGACCAAAGCGATATTCTACTACTACTACCGAAACAGTCTGGGATAGGTGGCCACACGCTTCCCCCATCCGCAGTCGACCCCTTCAACTGCTCTTTACTGTACCGCTTTGACGATGATGTCGACACGTGGAAGATACAAGTATAAAGTCAAGAGCGTCACTCGGGACCTGTGAGAGTCCAAAACTTGAAGTATGTATCAAGGACAAGGAAAGGGTAAAGGGAGTGCTCATGGATGCATACACAGCTAGCAAAGTCAACTAGAGTGAGCCAGACCGAGGAGCCGATCGTCGCTTAGCGGCTAATGGTCCAAGATGGCCACGTCAGGGCCGATCCATCGTCAGGAACGTGGCCAATCCCGAATCGGTGTGGCTTCTGGCAGTGGGAAAGAAAGTATACAATACGACGATCGTACGACGAACGATCGACGATCGACGAGACATGCATGGAAAAGTAATGTACACATGCGCTATACTTCGTACTTCGACTGTGGATGGGAAACAAGATGATCAGCTTGAGGGTCCTGGCGTCCTGGGAAGCCTTCTCTTGCTTCGTGGAACGGTAGCCCGTCCTCGTCACCCCACATGGAATGCACTGTCAAGCCCATATTGTCTAACAATTTGCCCCAAGACATCGCGGTCACCGCGGGTGCCTCAGCGGGAACCTGTGTGCTTGTTTCAGGAGAAGAACTGGATGGTACGCTTGGGTTTATGCTGTTAATGTTCGGATCGTCATGGCCCGCAGCCGTCGCTGCCGAGGACACGGGGGGTTTTACGTCAGCAGAGTTAGATGCTTCAGCATGATCGCCTGGCACTGTCACGATCAGGTCCCCCGACGTTTGGGAGGGCGGCAAGTAGGTCCACACGGTGAGGTGCCCTTTGGTTGCTGTCGCATCTGGTACAGTCAGCATATCGGATGCACATCGTTATACTTACATGTATACCACATCTTTGGCCATTCTCGCTCCCATATGATGCTCTGAATTGACATTTCGTTCCCGCCGCGGTGAGGGCGGAGCATTTGATTGGGTCAGAACTGGTATTGCTGGCCATAGTGACGGTGGACGATGGGCTTTCTTTCTTTCTTGCAACCATTTCATATACTTGGCCCGTCTGGGACTGAACCCCGCTAGAAATCGGTTGACAAAGGACTGCTGATAAGCTTGAAAACTGGCCGAAGGCAATGCTCAGGGCGATGCCAATCGCCTTTCCCACGTTGGAGGCCGAGTACGACCGGTCCGCAGGCTGGGCTCTTCTGCCTGTCCCCCGCATCGCACAGGTCGTGTACAATAAGTCGAAAAGTTTCTCAGTATCACACACTCCCAAGACTAGACAGGATGGGTCTAGCCGAAATAGGAAATTCGTACCGATTGCCTCCGAACTCGTCCGACCCGTCTTTTGTTCTGGGATGGGCACAATTTTGATAAGGTGGGGCGTTGAAGACAAAAACAAAGGCCGGATGACTTCAGTGATGGGGGTCTACAAGTGAGCGTGAGAACGTTAGTAGGCGATGAAGCGTGAGATGACCCGGGGTGGCGGTGAAGGATATTTGCAAGTGGCGAGGGAGTGAAATCAAGCGATATCGACGGCTTGACGGGTGGTCAGCCGAATACCAGTTGCATATTCGGTACAAATGCCGCGACACCGTTGAGTGAGGAACCTAAGCAGTGTCGACGGTCTTGCCAGCGGTACCACGTAGCAGACCGGTACGACGAGCACTGGCTATCAGCGATGCACACGATCAACAGCCTGAAGAAGACGTACGCAATGAGACCAGCTTTTTGACCGGCAGACGCATCACGAGCCATGGTAGAGGCATGACCGATGTGTTGATGGTTACCACCACCGTGCTGCTGATTAGTTGAGATCTTACGAGACAGAGCTTTTTACGTACAGGATGGTCGACGGGGTTCATAGCCACACCACGAGTCTTAGGCCAAGAGTTCCTCTTGCGACGCATGAGGTGGTATTTACGACCAGCTTTAAGGAAAGGTTTGTCGATTCTTCCTCCTCCAGCGACAATACCAACGGTGGCACGACAACGAGAGCTGATGACGGCTTTGGAACCGGATGGAAGACGAATACGGGTCTTGCCATCTTCTCCGTGACCGATGACGGTGGCGTAGTTGCCTGAAGTCCGAGCGAGGGCACCACGATCACCAATCTTCTCTTCGACGTTGCAGACGATGGTACCTTCGGGGCATTGGGAGATGGGGAGGACGTTGCCGATGTTAAGAGTGGCTTTTTTGCCGCAGTAGATGAAAGAGCCGGTGGAGATACCCTCGGTGGCGATGAAAGTCTCGATGCGTTGTTTGTATCGGTAAGGGTCACGGAAGACTACAGTAGCCAACGGAGCACCACTGCAGGTCAGCAAAGCACAGACACAAAGATCCGCACATGCACACATTCCAGTCTTTCCAGATATGGGCTACAGTTTCGAAAGGGAAGTCGAGTGGTGGAGAAAGAATGGTATTTCGACATGAGGAGTACAGCTATCGAGTTGCAGTGATGAGAATGTCACAGGGGGTGGTGCGCAACGGTGATGTCAAATTGAAATGAATGTTCACTCACCGACCAGCATCATGGATAATCTCCTTGACAACACCTCTGATATACCCATTCTTCTCAGCAAAGTCGATGTTTCTCAATCGAGCCGGGTTTTTGTTGTGGTGGGTATGGGACTTGAAGATCCCACCGGACTTTCTCTGATTACGAATGACTCGCTAGACTGTCAGCAACTGCCTATTGCGATTCATGACTTGTTCTCCTCATGACAACCGCTCGATCTATTTAGCCAAACGATGATGGTAAACTGAGAGTGGGTGGATATGCGTGGAGGACGTATGACTTACACCCATATTCTGTCGCCGTCAGTTACTGTCTATAGGTGACTATGAGCAGCTTACGATTCCTTGGTCGAGATCTTGATGGATACCTGACGAGTTGAAGGGATGAAGGGAAGAAGTTGGATGTTCGGAGTTAAGACTATGTGGCACCTGCTGACCTTCTCCCTCCTTATCCCCGAAAATGCCGGTCTGTCCGATGCGCGGATTTCCTCAGAGCTCGCGACCCGATTCAACCCCTGGCATGCATCGTCCTTTCAGCCTTCAACAACTGACTGCTCGACGACCAAAGTATCAGAATAGGGACAATGTCCCAGTCCCTTACATCAGACTCTCAAGTTCAAGATACAGCCCACCCAGGTGTACACGAAAGCGGACATGAACTTTTAGCTACGGAATTACTACCTCGAACCAACGCTACATTGACAATCCGAGTGATCAAGTCATTCGAATTTCGTACGCAGAAGAGTTTGGTATTGAAGGGTCTGAATTTGGAGTTGGAGACTGTGGGAAATCTGAAGACTAGATGTGAAAATGGTGAGTGATTCTTCTCCTTTCTTTGTATGCCACTGGCGAACCACTTTGGACAAGCTTGATGGCGACCCTCCATGCCGCCTGTATACGAGACTGCCAGAGACGGAGTTCCTGTTAGTCAAACTTTGAGGCAGAAGAGTAAAGAGAAGAGGAGATGGTATAAACTGGGGTTATATGAATTAACTGACTTCCTTAGCCATCGCTACAACATCGGGCTTCAAACCATATCGGAATGTTAAATTCGACACACTCAAACTGTACACCCAAGCACATGGGCACAAAGTGAGTCCTCTTCCTGCGTACAATCTCATTTGACATGGACTGACAGAAGACTACGAACCTTATTATAAATCTAGATCATGATGATTGGATCCTGGATGATCCCGAAGCGACATTGGCATCCATAGGAGCAGGTTCGTGTTTCCAATTTAACCCATTTCCCTATGTATGACGCATACGAAGGCTTCATCGGAGTGGTAAGTACGGTGATAACGTGTGGATGAAAACTTATGAAAAAGAGAACGAGACGGAATTATCTTTCTTCAATCGAGAAGCGTATGAAAAGTTCAAATTACATCCAGAGGTGAATGAGATATCTAATGGCAGGCATGGCACCAATGGCTAACGTCTAGGTGAAATGGGATTGACGCAATTCAACATCAGCATTGTCTTTTGGGCTCTTTGTGTGACTTTGCTTGTCTGCATGTATCACTTCATCGCATTCAGACTAATATGACACTTGTCTTCCTTTACACATAGCGCGCGAAAGCTCCCAGATATTTTGGCCAAGTCTCGCTGAGATACAAGCATTGCATATCACGTACTATATTCCTCTCCCCATCTTACAGATTGCCCAATTTCTCATTTATTACACTCCCAGACAAGCAGTACACACAAAAAGATGATCGAACGCCATTAAACAACAATCAGACATTGGCCATGGAACTCAAGAGACCGGCGTTGGTGGCAGGACCAGGACCAGCTTCGGCGTTGTCGGCATGAACAGAAGCAGCAATTTGTTGAGCCACGCTGTCCATACCGGACGAACCCATCGTGTTGAGATTCATAGGCACTGCGAGTCAATCTCGAGCCGATTGGCAAGGGGGTTCAACGTACCAAAGACCACTTTCGCCCCTGCGGTACGGGCCATGGCTTGTAACGCCTCGAGCTGCCTGATCTGCATGGCAGCGGGAGAAGCAAGGATCTGAACATCAACATGCCATCCACAGCGGCCTAATAATCTTGGCAGGAAGAAGGTCAGACTCACATCTGCAGCTTGACGCATGAGCTTGGCGGCGTCTACCTCTGCCCTGGCAGCAATGACTTTAGACTCTCCGATTCTCTTCTGGGTGGCGGCGGACGAGAGGGATTGCTGGAGCTCGATCGAGAAGTTGATGTCTTTAAGAAGAATTGACTCGATAGCAACACCCCATTTCTCGGCCGTCGCTTCAATCTAAGGCTCAGCATACAGACGTCGACGGAGCAACAAACAGCTACGGATCCAGGAGGATGAGGGTTTAAAAGAGGCCACTCACGATTTCTGCCACTTCTTGAGCAAGCCCCTCGCGGTCTGAGATGACACTTTGCAGCACTCGGCCTCCTACAACCTGCCTGAGGGTGGTCTCTGTTTCACGTCAGTGGCATGCGGTGGGTTGATCTGCTACTCACGTGCACGCTCCACCAATGCCCACCTGACATCGTTGATTCCAAATGCTGCCCTGTATGGCGAGACCACTATCCGGTCAGCTCTGAGGCACCCTCAGCTAATTGACTCACCATGCCAACATATGACACTGTCAACGTCAACGCTTACATTGTCTTTAGTCTGCACGGTCTGTCTGGGGACAGACGTGAGCTGGATCTTGACGTCTGCTCGTTAGCCCAAACCTGGACTTGAAATCTGAGTTGGACTCACCGACGACACGAATGGTCTCTGAACAAACGTTGACCTTCACCAGACCAGGGTCCACGGCCTTGTTGTCAGCTCAATGAAGACAGGTATTCATACTTGACAGACCTTGTAGAATTGTCCGAAGCGGCTGACCAACCCGACGGAACCTTGATCAACATTCTTGAAGGGGTTTGGGCATGGACAACATGGGATCATCCCGATAGATCCTACGCACGCACCGAGGGATTGCATCATGCTTCCATAGAAGCCGTGCTGGTTGTGAGCTCAAGTACCATCTATGACCCAGACCGAAAGCGCAGGTATGAGCGGCATAGGCAACAATCTCAATGGTGTTGTCAGATGTAGACAGGGATGTATGATTGACATACCTCAATACCTCCTGTGCCGAGGTTCTGAGCGTACGAAGGTTGCATGCTATTTTGGTGAGTGGAGCACGTGCGACGCCAATCAGAGTGGACTCACTCGTTTTTCCTCAGAGGCTGGACCGTCTGAGAATGGTCAGCCGTATTCCTCATATATGAGAGGTAGTCCAGAGAGTGAGAAGATAGTACCCACGATGAGAGGATTGCCACGGTCGTCAAGACCATTGACGTTTGTCTTACGAATACGAGGTATGTCGTCGGTGACATACCTGTGGAGGTCCTCTTCTCCATTAGCGGGTTTACCGTTGTTGACAACGGTCGAGTTGGTTGAAGCCAAGTAGTCTGGTGCGGACATCACGTCTCGTCGATTCTAGTGTTTACTGGGAAAGTGCAGGAGCTACTTATGGTAAGTAAAGCGGTGTGGAAGATGTGTTGTAGTCAAGGAAGAAGAAAGGAATAGGTTGGGTTGCGTGAGTGTTTGACGGCGATCGATGACTTGGGTGGCGGCGGTGCTCTCGGTGCTTTGTGCAATTGCCGGTCGGTTTCAGCCGAGTCCGATTCAATGATCCAATCACAAATGACTCACGACTTCTCTTTCCCCAGTACGAGTGGTCATACTCCATGCACCTAACCTCCACATCGTCCACAGGCTGCCCCGCATGCCTCAGGTGCAACATCGTGTCCGAGATCCGCGGCCGGCGGATCAAAGATTACTAGTTAGGATCCCAGGTCCACAGGTAACAGGGCAGTAATATTGCCGAGAGCACCAAACCATGCATAATGACTTGTTATCCTACCCAGCCGTCCGCTCGCGTCCGGACGTCGTCCGCCACGAAGTCACGTGACACCCCCCTTTTTGCCCATAGCGTCCGAGGTCCCGTCCTTGTAACCGCGGTTACAGGAATTACACCATACAAACAGCCGCGGTTACAGACCTTCTCGGGTTCCTGAGTGTGAAAAAAGGGTTACAATGAACAATGCAACGTTATTTTCACTATCTGCAACTGTCTTTCATCCATTTCAGCTCTCTACCACCTGCTTTTGCTTTATTCAACTATATAATGTCTCGTCAAAACCGTCTTAACGCTACTATACATGATGAGATTGCGGATTGTTGGAATACGTCAGATAATTGGCGTGAAGACTTTGGGGAACTTGAGAAAATGAGTAATGCTTCCTCAACACAAGCTCATTACCAAGTACGCATACGAAGATGGCAAGAATGGTGTCAAAGAATGAAGTTTAGCACTGGGTACGTGACTTTGTATGAGTTGGCCGACGTCGGCCGACGTCGGCGGCAGATTGCTTGATGGGGCAAAGTAGGAACGATCAAAAGATGCTAATTGTTCCAGAGATACGGTTACACCGGAGTACGCCCTTAGATGGATATATACACAAGTGTTATTTTACCCCAATAATCGTACAGATACACGCAAAAGAGAACGTCAAAGTACCCCTGAGGAAGCAGAGACCTCAGTTGCTGGAGCAAGAAGAGCAAGTTCTGACCTACTACCAACATGCTCAATCGAAGATGTTGAAACAAGTTTGGATACGTTCGAAGAAAGTCAACTACGAGCTTTAGATGTAGTTGAAGACCTAACTCGAGGAGAAAAAGTGCCTACAACAACAGCTAGAGAAAGTGGTGTGTTCACTTGCTAACTGTGATATAAAGTGCTTGCTGAATGCCAGTTTTGTTAAAGCTTAGCCGAATGACGCAAAGTCAAGCGTCAATCAAACTGCATGTAGCTGCTCTGGTCAGTCTATGGAAACAGCAGAAATACAAAGGCATGAACAGTCATCCTCATCCGCGCTCGGCAGCAATGAAAAGCCTTTTGTTAGTCTTAAGACGAGTAGATGAACAAACGAAAAGGGAAATGTTTATCGATAAAACAAGTAGTAAGTAAGCACAGTCAAGAGCCTAATTGATTATTAGATACAATTTTCGACGGATATCAAAGTAGAAAACAAATTGAGGATTGCTTCAGTGCTTACGTCTCTCGAAATACCGAGCAAGGCCTCCGTGACGCTGTTGCTCACGCTCTAGGCCTGTACGTGCTCTACCGGGGCGATAACCAACGAGGCATGGAACTTTCAGATTTGGCGTACACTGTGTGGGATAACGAGGGACCAACACCCATGTTAGTTGTTGTGTGCGTTAGTAGACGTGGAAAAGTCAACAAGCATGGCAAAGTAGAGTATTCGGGGTTAATACGCAACAAAGACGTTTTCATGTGTCCTGTGGGGATCTTAGCAGTTTACTTGTTTGCTCGGTGAGTGAATGTCAGCCGACGTCGGCCGACGTCGGTTTAGCTAAACTAATATGCGTGTTAATTCACTTAGATTTCAGGCCGGCAGCCTTGGAGACAATGGATTTCCCAACCTTGCTTCTCGTGAGACGTGGTACAACGATAAACTCCTCCAACATTCAATATATTCTCGTACAGATCAACTCACGTATAAAGCACAATATGATTCAATTACTCAGGCTCTTAAAAGTGCTCAAGTTAATACGGGAAAGAAGACACATATCAATAGAGCCGGAGGAGCTCAGCTCGCAGAAAGTGAAGGTGTATCAGCTCAAGATATTGCGCGTGCAGGCCATTGGAATCAAGATGTTTTGGAAAATGTCTACTTGGGTCATATGCCTCGTTCAGTATTACGTGCATTGGCCGGGTTTAAGCCTTATGGAAGCCAAGACTATTACCTTCCGCGTGATATTCCTGTACCGGACACTTTACAGAGAATGGTATTTCCTTCTCTTGAAAAATGGTAAGCAAACCTCGTTTGTAAACGCATTGCTCATGTAAAGGGAACTGGATCTTTCCTTACGACAAGGTGACGCTATAGACAGACAGGCTATGACGTTTGTTCAGCTTTTGAAACACCTTCGTAAGGTATTTTTTCAAGACATCTGCGCCTGGCGTCAAAAATACCCAGAGCTGTACCTTTGGTCGCATTCCCTGTTTCAAAATGACGAATTCAAGCAATGGGAAGCTTGTTATTTTGACACATGCTCTCTTCGTACGAATAGTCACGATCGTAGGCTAGCTGAAGCCATGCCACAACTTGCATCAACTCTCTCGGCGCATTTCATGAAGCAAACACAAGATAGTACCGAAATTCATCATAAATTGTCGTCTTTGATCACAACCGCTCAAAATCAAGACGTATCATTGAACCTTAACCAGCAGCAGCTGTCTCGGATCCTTGTCGCTTTAAGCCAGCCGATTATTTTACCTAGTATTCTTCAAGGAACTGAAATTACGGCAGGTGAAACACCTGTGCAATCAGAAACAACATCTCGCGCCCTGCAACCAACGGTACTGCTTGAAAACATTCCTACATCAAGTACAGCAGCAGAGGGTACAGCTTCACCTCTATTGACCGTAGTAAATCAACCTCGAGCTGTCTTGACGCCTTTCAGCCTGCTACGGACTTTACGGACCGTAAATCAAGTTTGGGAAGAATATAACACCGGCTTAAACGGCAAACCGTCTGCTAAAATGATGTACGAGAATCCTCAGCATCATTGGGGCGTTGGCGGTGACACAGAGCGGAGGTTTTGGAACCGACGTCTAGTCATTATTAATCAGATCAAGTTAATGGCTCAGACACGATCAATTACGGAAGACGAAGCTGCTAGGGATCTTGATGCGTTTCGTGTTCGGCAGCGTCCTTCGTCGCTTAATGCTTTACATGACACACTGAAAGGTATGTCTGAGAGTGAAAAATTACGCCTCTAAAGCTATAACAATGACAAAAAACCGACGTCGGCCGACGTCGGCCAATGATGGTTTGTTGCGACCATAGTCACCCTCAAAGGATAGTTTCAAACTGTTTCATTGCAATCCCGAGCAACAAACATTGCAGGGCGTAGTTGGTTGAACAATTTTCTACGCAGACAGTGTAAGCAAGTGTACACACAACAAGGATGTATTAAGTGTATTGTCGTGAATCTTAGCCCACTATTTTTCAACGTTCTTCGTTAATTGAAACTTAGCTATAGCATCAAAATGTCGAATACACCACCTTCTTCCAAAGTACCTCCTCCCACGCCAAAGCGGTACGCAAACAAGGGAAGTCGTCGCAACGACACCTCTCCAGAAAAGGGAGGACAAGCAGTCGATGAATTTTTTTCAACAAAAGTATTGAGTACGTTAGAACCTTTTGTCGAGTCATTGACAGTATCTAATTGGTAGGTGCGTACGAACCGTTCGAATGGGTGCCGGGAACGAAATTCAATCGTCGTATTTTTCCTCAGGATAGCTCAAAGACATTGGCTTTACTGCCAAACAGATTGAAAGGCGAAGTGTGGGCTATACCACCGAATAAAGAGTTAGAAATAGTGAGCTTGAACTTCTTATGTTAAAACTCGTCTAGAACGATGCTTATTAATGAAATTAGGTTAAGCGTCACCGTCTCGCGCACAACATCGTGTGTGGCCCACAATCTGTCATTCGTTCCGGCGTGGCAATGTGTTCACATTGCCAAAAACGAATAAATCGCGATGATGCCGTATCCTTCGGTTGTATAACCGTCAGTGAGAGTGCACAATCAAGCTGTGCAGAGTGCCGGGCAAGAGGAACGAGCAATTGTGATTTTGGAAAGAATGTCTTAGAAGAAGAAATCCTAGATGCGTCATTGGCGTCTAACCTTGTTGCCAAGCTCGAAGGATTGGAAGCAGTCGTCAGTGGTTTCGGTGAGTACCAGTTGACAATTGTGTGCTATGCTAAATGAACAGCGGCCATTAATACCCCGATTCCACCTCAGGTCATTTTGTCGGCTTTGGGTCCGCTTACTCGTGACGGGCGTGCACTTGTTCAGCAGCTTAACGCTGCTGTAGCTGCTAATGTCTTGGACACCGACGATCCTTCCTTACGTCGTCGCCGTACCGCGGTTAACTTTCTTCCCTCGCCGGTGTTGGAACACGGACAACTTACAGGACTCAGTGCGGGCTGGAACGATGAAGGTATGTCTCTTATCACTCATTATTGTATACAGCATTGACATTAGATATCACAATGGATGACGCTGCAAATAGACAGCTGAATACCGATCCTGCTGCTGCCGCTGCTGCCTCTGGTCCTGCGCGGAACTTACGATCGCAACGCAAACTGTCACGAAGTGACAAGACAGTTTGATAGTGATAGTGATAGGATGGGTTGGGTAATTAACCAGCGACCGGCGGTATGCAGTAACCGCCGGTTAATAGGCCTTTTAGCACAGTGGTTTAGACCGCTGCCTCTGAAGGGCACTGTTATATCGTCCCAATGCTGGTTAGTTGGTCTCGTGACAGATCGACCGGCGGTATGCAGTAACCGCCGGTTAATAGGCCTTTTCGTCGCAGTGGTTTAGATCACCGTTCCGAAGGGCACTGTTATATCGTCCCAATGCTGGTTAGTTGGTCTCGTGACACAAACCTTCTCAGACTTTTGAACAACGTCTTCGATCTGCTCAAGCCTCCGGAAAGCGAGGGAAGTCTCGTCAAATCTCAGATAGTAGTCGTTTGTCCACTCCCAACGATTTAGATCGTCAAACGTCGAACGCGAGTGGATCAGGTGCCGGGGTGTCAGACAAGGATACGCATGGCCATGATCAAACCATGTTAGAGGAGTTGGATGAAGATGGGGGTTAACTTTGTAGCAAATAGTTGATCAATGTATGCACATGCCATGACTGTCTCATCATTACATGCAAAGGTCGAAGACTTTCAGTAATTGCATGAAGCAAACAATGTTAATTGTTGAAATCGAAAGTCAATCGTAAAAAGCGATCGTAGGCCGACGTCGGCCGACGCCGGCTCACGTGGCACGGAAGATTTGGTTACACCGGACGGGCCCGGACGGCCCATATGGACCCCGTCCGGTCCCTATTGGCCCTGAGGTCGTGTAACCGAATGTACGAAATTGTGACTCATGCTGCCACCTGAACGCGTTCCAACAATTCATCTCGTTCACTCTTCTCTGTCCTAACTTGCTAACTACTGCTAATTCTTGCTAATTTGTGCTCATTTTTGCTAATGTTTGTGTTGATGAGAGCTCAAGAGTGATTGATGCATACATATAGAGATATACAACAACTTATGTGTCTTCGGAGGGAGAGGTTGCTGCGACAGGGGCACGACGACGCTTACGGGGAGTATCGGGGGCAACAACACCTTCGGGAGCCATATCAGGCAAATGAATCGCCATCAATTGCTCAATGTTCGATCTGACGTGCTGACATTGATATAAGATAGTTTTCGGTTCCAATTCATACTTATGTGTTGCTAGAAAATTAGCTTTGCAGTTATATTTAAGAACGAAAAGTACTAACTCGCTAATTCAGCCTGGATCTCGATAGCTTTCAATTTGCCCAGCTCTTCTCGCATATTTCCCGCAAAACTCGCCTGATCCAAGATGTATTCCGCCTTTTCGACAAAAGTACAGCGAGCTGTCGTACCCCTCGCGATACATTCGGTACATGCTCCTATAGGGAGCTCACCGACGGTTACACAGCCAAAAGAACACAACTCCTCGCGATTTTGACGAGCTTGACACAACTGACAGCTAAATGTTCCCATTCTGACATGAGAATTAGGCGATACAGCGTGATTATACGCCTCCCGGTAATTTTTATACTAATTGAGTCAGATAAACACAACTTTAACGAAAATTGACTCGAAAGCACTAACTTTTGACGATTCATTAGGAGAAATTCCAATCTTAGGACCTTTATCTCCACCTGCAACCCGAAGAACCTCATTACGACCAGTATCAGACCATTTCCGTAGAGGATAAGCAACAATACCATCCCAATCGAATTTGGCGCTCCACTCCGCTAATCATTAGAATTAATTAACCTCTTAACGTTGAAAAAGCAGCAACTAACGTGAATCGGGCTTAGACGTAACAAGTTGTTTCAAAGTAGCAGGAGGAGTAGGTGGGTTCGACATGATATCTTTTCAAGAAGCTTAAAATTCAAATGTCAGTGTGGTAAAGTAATGTAAGACGTTAAAATTTGAAAAGAGGTGGGGAAGAACTCATGACAACGACCTGGTATATGTGACAACCAGCAAATTGACCACTTCGCTCTCCTTGACAACCAAAGGATACTTACCCTTGACAACGACATGCATACCCTCGTTTTAATGGTTTGAGGACGTAAATTACGTTGATTTACAGACCCTGATTTACACTGTCTCAAGTCTATCGTTTTTAGCACGTCTTAAATACATGAAACCGTAAAACGGATCAAATTGTTGATTCCTGCAGGGACGTTTACTGAACAACGACGTGGTCCTAATTCCTGCAGGTTATATATCCGTTGTGAGGTTTCATACTCCTTTGACTGTTCTACAACGCCCTTGGCTACGAGTAAAGAAATTTTAACCACAGTTAGCACTCACGAGCAATAATTGGCAGAAAGTAGCAAGAATGAGCAAAAAAGAGCAGGAATTTGCAAGGTGATACTTATGCTAAGGTAATGCTACACAAGAAGATATATTACTGTACAATACTAAACAGATATGAGTTCTTCTGCTGATGCTTTACTCAACCAATGTTGTAAGGCGTCTAAAGATGGATTTGGTAAAGTATGTCTATGTTTATCCCAAACCTTCGCTGCTTCAACATCTTCTATTGCTCTTGCCTCACTTAAACGTCGAACCGCTCGAATAATGCTAATACGTCTTCTATAAAAACGTTTTTTGGTCTCGCTTGCATTCTTCAGTCCATTAGGGTTATCTTCGTACTGACTTTTAATTGATGGGCGACCATTAATACCAAAGAGATACTCTTGCCATAATTCCTGAACCGTTTGAATTGATCTACTCATAGTAAATGGTAATAGCAGACTGGTTTGGATAGAGGTTTGAACGTTTATATTGTGGGAAGATGAAGATGTAGTTGCCAAGAACGAGTTTGTAGTAGAAGTTGTAAGCTGTTCATTTGGCAAAGTCGTCAATGAAGTGCTTGCTTCGTTTGTATTTGTCAATCCGGAGTTCGAAGACTGGTTTTCACGTAAGATAGACTGTAATATAGGCGGAAAAAGGAGTGGACTGCTAAGACCGTTTTGTATTAATGCAATTCCATTCAAGACCGCCTGAATTTGCTCGTTATTTTGTCTTTGGCTTTTATTTACTTCTTCAATGCGTGAAACCATATCATGTGACGTTTGTTGTTGTGCTTGAGCTTGAGTTTGTAGAATGTCATGTAGAATTGGCAAAGCTTGAGCAATATGTCAAAGACGTCGTTTCTTCTCCTCTACTGACCGACGGTCGACAAACCTCGGCTAACTACGTCGAAGTGGGGCGTCGTTGTCTCACTAAGACAGGGTACTCGTCGAGGAACTACGGCTAACTTCGCCGTAGTGATTCGTCGAGTGGTAAACTGATAAGATGATCGTCGATGAACTGCGGCTAACTTCGCCGTAGTACGTTGAACTGCTCGGTGGTAGCTCTCCTAAATTCGAAGGTTGTAGCTACTGAATATATCTCTCGCTACTGACAACAATCAAGGATCGCTGAAGAAGTTCAGCGATCTGTAAACTATCTATACTACTCCTCTCTTCTCGTAGAATGTCCCTCAACTCCTGCACTGCCTCACGCTCAGTCCTCTTCGTTCAACTTCGCCGTACCTTCCCCTGTTCTGCTCTCCCTCGGTTCCCTTCCCCTAACTTCGCCGTAGTTCCCCGTTAGGCGGGGTTATCGTGACAAATCCCCTCTTGGTTCTCGTAACTTAGCCGTAGTTGGTCTCAGTGGTTCGAGTGGAGGTTGGTAGTGGTGAAAAGGAAGGTCGGTGATGGTGAAAGGAGGGTCGGTGATGGCGGTTGTCAGGGATGTTACGACGTAGTTCGTGACAGTCGCCCCCTCCTTAGGCGCGAACGTCCTCGTGAGCTTCGTATGCATGTAATGAAGAAAAAGACACTCAGCAGGTTGCAGGAAACACAATTTGTCATATAACGGTTGTTGGTAGATGATACCATGGTTTGTTGTTAATCGGACAGTAAACTTCGTCGAAGTTCATCGTGGTTGCTTGTTGTTACCCTGTGGTAGTTACATTGTAAGTGAGACAGAGGATTTGGGGTACAACAAACCTCGTCGAAGTTCGTCAGCGTATCCCTAACTTATATGAATGTGAGACACGTAGCGTGGGAATTCTGATCGTCGCCATGGTGTTTGTTGTCGCTGAGACAACTTGTTATGCGAAGTTACCAGCGCCCTGACGACGAGTAGTCGTATCAGTCATACTAAATACTCAGTACTTCGGCCCACTTCTTCTTCTTTCCCAGTACCAATCCTAAATTGTACTATCATCGTCTATCGATTCTCAGCCTTTACCATACCAAACATATCAATTTGATATATCTCAACAAAATGTCTTCTCGTCCGGAGCTCAACGCCCATAAATTTTTCGCAGATCGCTTTGCCGCTGTTCGTAAGTCTCTTCGTACTGTCTATAAGCTACTCTGTCGCTGATTGTTCTAGTCGCTCAGCAGGGGAACTCTCCCCGCCATGTGTCGTCCATGGGCTTTGGAGCCCTAGCCATCACCGATGGCTCGCCTTCTGCTGCTGCAGCCTCCGCTGCAGTTCCTTCTGCCACCGCGTCCCCTGTTGCGGTCACGACCCCTCTCTCCTCTGGCCAACAGGAGGTCAGACCTGCTCCTGTTGGCCTTCCGCACCCGTCAGGCCGTACTGCCACTGTGGTAGAAATCGATGATGATGACGATGAGGAGATGGATGGTGCTCGTCGTGGTGAAGAGACGGGTGTGTTGGTTGATGATGGTGAGAAGGGTGGTGCAGATGAGGATGATGAGATGGGTGAGGTCGATGAAGATGAGGAAATCCTCAGTGTTGATCTCGGTGATCCAGCGCTGTTTGAGGATAGAGAAACGTGGGTGTCAGAGTTGGAAAAGTTAAGCCGTATGTCCTCTTGTCATATACCCTGTTCGTAAGTGCTGACATGTAGCTGTTCGCGATAATGAAGGTTCTCCCGAATTCCGCGTACGACTCCAGACTTCTTTCGGGAAGAAACGGGTTGCGTATCAGGAGAAGATGGATGCTCTGGCTGAAATTAAAGCCGAGAAACGTCGCCGCTCCCCTTCCGCCCACGACGAAGTTACCCCTCCTTCGGCGAAACGGGTCAAAGAGACCCCTCGGTCCTCTACAGGACAGGCTGAATTGTTTCCCTCCCCTTCCCACGAGCCGGGGAGTGCCCGCAAGGCGTCGTTGCGGGAGCAGGATAGGCTATGGAAGTTGTTCATCGATGAAAGGGAGCGATGGGAGGTCGCCAGTATCGAAGAGTCGTGTGATAGATGCCGGTAAGTTCCTTCCCTAGAAGTTTATACGTCTGCTGATTAGTAGCCGTGAAATTATCACGTATGGGAGAGCGAAGTGGCCGTGTCTACGACCGGTCAAACCTCATAATCGCGGGTCCCGTTGTGCTTCTTGCACTTCTGGTCCCTGCTCGTTCTGTCCCCCCAACACCGCTCGGGACATTCCTCCAAGACCTTCTGCTCCCCTCGGTCCCCCCTACACTCCGTCCGCCGCTGTTCGCCGCCGTCTCCCCACAGCCCAAGATGGGGAATATCCTTCGCGCTCTCCTTCGGCGAACTTCTCCTCTCCTGGCCCCACCTCGCCGTCACCCGCCGCCCGTCGCCTGCCCAACTCTCCCGTGGCCGGACCGTCACGTCTCCCTGCCACTCCTTCGGCTGGTCCGTCCCGTCGCACTCCTCGTCGTGCTTCTTCCGCCGCTCTTCGGCCTTCTACTCCTGTGGCTGGCCCATCTCGTCTCCCGGCTACTCCTTCTGCCGTTCCGTCTCGTCCCAGCAGGAGCCGTCCCACTCCTGTCTCAACTCAAGAGGACTTCTCTTCAAGTCTCCCTCCTGCCCTTGGGACCCGAAGCCGTCAACCATCTGTCCCTCCTGCTTCTGGGCTCTCAACTCCTGCCCCTCCTGTGAAAACTCCTCCGAAATCTTCGAAAGGGAAAGGCAAGAATAAGAAAGCTGTCCAGTTCGAATCGGCTGTGGTGGAAGACGAAGGTACTCAGCTACCAGGGGAAATCCTTCCTTCCCTCGACCACCCCATTATCGCTCTCGATCCCCGGATACCAGAGGAGGACAAACAATTAGCCACCTTCCGTTCCGTCATTATTGGCTTAACCACGCAATTACAAGCCAATAGACGAGATACGGCGAAGCTTGTCGAATATTGTGTGAAGCTGGTCTCTGCGATGAATACTCTCTCTCGGACAATGGCAACTCTTGTGAACTCCTCCGACATAGGGCCATTAGGGCGAACTGAGTTAGCTAGAGTCTCCCGAGAGCTCACAACGGACATGAGCGACTTCTACCGCAATCTCTTCGACTCTCCTTACCTCCTGAACCCCACTGAGTATATGCTCCCCCCTACACTAGACTGGTTAAGACCATCTCAACCAGCTCGACTCAGTTCTCAGGATGGTGCTTTCCTCGATATCCTAACTCTTCCCGCAGACTGTCTTAGAACACTTCGTCAGTTGTGGAAATCACCTAGTCTGAGTGTCGCTCGTGATCCTGCTCTCCACTCCGCTCACATTCTCGCCTTTAATACAGCATGGAAGGAGACTCGGGCCCTCCGACGGGCGGTGGGACCGAAGGTTACTGAGAGTAGTTCTGGGAGTGGTCCTGCACCGGGAAACGAAGAACAGGGAGGAAGTTCGCAGCAGTGAGTTGTACTTAGCTAATGTTGTACCAGTTGTATGAATTACTTCCTCGTTCGTGATCTCACCACTCGTCCTTTCGTCGGCTTATCCGGGTGAAGTTCGTGGAACTTCGCCAATATGTCATTAGCTCCGTCCACATTTTCTACTGGTTCCCATGATACTGCGTCATCCGAGCCTTCGTAACCTAACCATTCCACTAGATATTCTAACTTCCCTGACCTCTTATTTACTCTCGAGTCCACAATATCCTTTACTTCCCATGATTCTCCTACGTTATCTACCTCTACTGGGCCAGGTGGTTCAGCTTGCTGACCAGGAAATACCGGAGGGTGATAGGGACGGAGTAAAGAAACATGGAATACATCATGGATACCTGCCATCGTTCCTGGTAATTCCAGTTTACAAGCATGAGAACCTACTTGCCGTACTACCTTGTACGGCCCACTTTGCTTAACGTCCAACTTCTTCATTGGTCTCTTAGTCTTGATATTTTCTAATGACAGCATCACTAGGTCACCTTCTACGAAGTTCGGCGTAGTTCGGTGTTTCCTATTGTATCCTTCGGCGTACTTCTCATTAGCTCTCTCAATCCCCTCAATACATTCCTTATGTATTTCAGTTAGGTCTTTTACTGCTATTGTAGCAGCAGGTACCTCGACTTCACTAGCCTTAATCTCTTCAGCCCATCGAGGGTGGTACCCATAGTTCGCATAGAATGGGGTCTTGTTTATCGCGGAATGATGGGTGTTGTTATAAGCAAAGCTAGCTCGGGCAAGTAGCTTCGACCAGTCGTTCTGCTGGTAGGAAGTGAAGATTCGAAGGTATAATTCCAGGGACTGGTTCGTTCGTTCGGTCTGTCCATCAGTCTGTGGATGATACGCGGTAGAAAGATGTAGTCTTATCCCGAGACTATCGGTCAAGTTCTTCCAAAACTTCAAAGTAAACTTCGATCCTCTGTCTGATACTATACTCTCTGGTAACCCATGCTGGGCCACCACATAGTCCATTATCAGCTCTGATAGCCCAGCTGCAGTTAACTTCGTCGTGGTTGGGATAAACATGGCCCATTTTGTCAGTCGATCCACGACCACTAAGATAGAGTTATATCCATGGGAATTTGGGAGCTCTTCGATG